TTGCCATCAGAGATCTGATGGATTACTTACAGAAACATAACATTATAAGTAATGATGAAACAGGAAAGAAAATTGCTACCATCAATAACAAAAAAATCACNGAAAACTGGAAGAAAATCCGCAACGTAACAGTGCATGAATTAGAAAATGTATATCAAAGATTAGGTATAACTTTTGATGCTTTCCATTGGGAATCTGATTACAATGGCATTGCCATCAGAGATCTGATGGATTACTTACAGAAACATAACATTATAAGTAATGATGAAACAGGAAAGAAAATTGCTACCATCAATAACAAAAAAATCACGTTTCTTAAAAGCGACAATTCCACTTTGTATCTCACTAGAGATGTTGCTGCTTTATTGGATCGTCATAAAAAATATGATTTTGATAAGATGTTGTACATTGTTGATAATTCACAGGCTGATCATTTCTCATCTGTTTTTGAAATTGTAAAGCAGTTTAATAAGAAGTGTACTGAAGGCTGTGAACATATAAAATTTGGAAGAATAAAGGGTATGAGTACAAGAAAGGGTAATGCTGTATTTTTAAATGATATCTTAGATGAAGCGAAACAGAAAATGTATGAAAAACAAATGCAGTCAAAAAGTAAGAAACTCTAAAACTATCCCATAATCCCATGTTTTTTAATTAAAACTGCTTTTACTGTTTAATCTTGCATTTATTATTATTGTTAGTACATAATAATTATCATTTCGAATACTACACTTTTTGAAAAATCATAAATTTGAAATAACAGGTTCATTAAAGGACATAAAATGATGAACTGAACATAAAATAAATTTGTCCCTTTCATTTCAACAGACACAAGGCAATCTGCAATGAATGAAGAAACATGTGACATACTTGGTACCACTGCTGTAGTAATTAATGATTTAAAACAAAGAAGACAGCGTGATTATGAATTTAACTGGGACAGAGCTCTACAAAGTGAAGGTGACAGTGGAATTAAATTACAATATCTACATTGCAGACTTAGAAGCTTAGAAAAAAATTGTGGTGTTTCCATCCCTGAGTTTTGCAGTCCAGCTCTTCTGACTGAAGATATAATAGTTGATGTAGTAAATGAGCTGTCAAAATTTGAAAATGTTTTACAGAGGTCATTTGAAGCATATGAAGCCTGTATTTTAGTCAGTTACTTGTTCCGCTTAGCTAAATGTATAAATAAAATGTTCAAAGAGATGAAAGTAAAAAATGTAGATCAAAGTACTGCCGAACAAAGGCTTTTAGTTTTTCATGCAGCTCGTATCGTTGTAAAAACTAGTTTAGAAATTTTAGGTGTGAGACCTCTTGATGAAATGTAAATCTAGTCATTTTACTATTTATATAAAACGACTTGTGTGGTTTCAACCAAGTTAAATTTTCAACAACTACATTTTACTGTACTGTTTACATAATATAATATTAGCAAGTGAATGTAGGTAAAATCAAAATTATTGTAATAATATTTATGTATCTACAATCTGATGTCATTTTGTACTACTTAATCTTAATAAGTAGACAACATAATAAATGATGCCACAATTTTTTCTTTTATTATGCATTGATATTTCAGTTAAAGACTCAGGCTTAACTGTGTCTGTTCTTAAATTGTAATCAAGTGATTTTAAATGAATATCGATTAAATTTCATTCGTAACGCACTTAGCCAACTTATAATCTGTTCATTGCTTTTAAAATTACAAAAAACAAGATTGTATCCTAGTATGCAATTTCTCTTTTGCAGTCTTAAGACTTTTTTCTGAAAAATTACATTGAGCATATTGATTTTTTTAAATGTAATTTTTATAACAATTTCAATGGGATAGCCGCTTTACAATACAAATTAAGACAATTGAGACTTCAATTCATGATTGTAGACATCGTAGTACGGTACTCAAGGAGGGTAGAAGTACCGGTAAAATGGGGCGATTAGGGACAAATTCCAACTTTATGACCAATTTTAAAGTAGTTGTTGATGTATATAATGCTATATCAGGATCAAAATGATTGAGTCTTGGGGGCATCTTTGTTGTCCAATTTAAAATTATGCAACTAGCATTCCAGTTTAAGCAAAAAATGCAAAAATAGGTGTAATCCCTATTTACCCGGAAATTGCGGTTAATTGGGACGAAATGAGAAATTTGCTAGGGTTGGCACTACTTTTATTTTTATAAATAGTTTTAATTTATTTATTTATTTAATTGCACCAACAAAGTGATCATCAATAAAAAAAATTGAAAAACTGACAAAAGTACATGGTAGATGTCACCTCAATTATAGGGGCAATCGACAGTGCATTAACAACAAAATATATATATAGTGAGCTTTCTTAGAAACGGTTTATATTTCTCCGTTCTTGGTAAGTACTTAGGGGCTGATATTTCTATCTGGGTTAAGAGATTAGGTGTGTCGGTTATTCCATGGATTAATCAGATGAATACCCACACTCTGAACAAATATTAAATATTTTATTATGTATTACTTAGACATTTTTGTCCACCTTGAGATTTCATTGTTCTTGTTACATGTCTGTGCAAAATCGACTTACTTATATTAAATTGCTTATCTATTTCAACTAAAGACTTGCTCCCAATTTCATAGGCTTCTATTGCTGTTTTTAATATTAAGGGATCATATCTCAAGGCTTTGCACTCTTTGATACGTACACGCGAGGCATATCTAAAAATAGAAAACAATACGTAACTGATAATATAAATATCTACCAAACAATAAAATAACACATTGATAATTTTGAATAAAAGTTCTAGACAAAAACATCATGAATAAACCAGATTTTTACCAACAAATTTAAAAAATATTGTTATAACTACATAAACAACCCTACAAACCTGTACCTATTTATACTTAGGTCGTTTCCATTTCACGTATTCTGATCCCAATTGACCCCCTTATCGTTGTTATTTATACCTAAGACGTCCCCAATATCCCCAAAAACAACAGATTTTTACATGTATTTTTATTTTATCAAATACATTAAAACCAATAAAAACTGAGACTTACCTTTAATATATATGCTGGTTCAAGCACTAAATAACGTTTATAAATCACAGTCGTCTTCTATTATTATCAAATAAATAAAAGAGAGCAAAGTTTCTAGCACTAAAATAATTACCACCACAGGAAGTTAATTTGAAACGCGATTTTTTATAAGTTAGCAGCTATTAGCATGCATATTCAGAGTTGTTTTGTGAACTTTCAACATTCTACTATTAAACTACAAAAAATGGAAGATTTTGCAACGAATATAAAACTTATATTGAGCGTCGAAAGATTTTCCCGGTTTTTTCCCGATTCGCCTTTCAATCCCTAATCGCCCCATTTTACGGTACCATAATTAAAACTATTATTTATGGAAGTACCTCCATAGTTTTCAGGCGATAGTGTATAGTCTATGGTCACTTTAACCATTAAGTCCAGGTGAGCTATAGCAGATAAACTATCTATGTAAACCATAAAAAAAAAACTGATCATAAAACTAATTTATTTCAATGTATCGTTATAAATCAATCACACCTCATGAAGAAGTTGAAGAAGAACATTAAAATAAAAAATGTAAATTTCTAAATATGTAGTTAGTTATTGCGCTGCGTAAACGCAGGAGCGGGTTTAGTCCCAAAACCTGGTGGTACGTGTGGCAAAAATAAATTCTAAAAGAGTAAGCACAAGGGTGCCAAGAAATACAAATAAACTTAATTCCGATAACGTATAGTGTAAGACAACATCTAATTGTAAAAAGCTTCGAGTGAACGTGCACTTGTATTGATGCATGAACGCATAGAAATGTGCTTGTTCAAATGATTACACATTCCCTTCATGTTGACGTTGAATATAGTTACATTTGAATTTGTGAATAGTTGTATTACAACTAAGTAAGTACCCAAGTAGTTGGATCAATGCATATACTACCGAATCGAGACCACGACTGAGAAGATCCGACAAGATCGGAACTGGTTAAGGGCGATGGCAGTGGTTGACAGTAAGATGGTTATAATTAGCGACAGCCACTTTATGGGGGCCATCCTGTTGCTGGGTTGTCGTAAAGAAACGTTCCTACGCTGTCTTGAATTATTCACGTCGTCACGTCGTGAAGCTCTACAATCCCAATTAGCAAATTATTTCGAAGGCTTACCTAAGAAACATGGGTATGAGCCACATGAGTGAAACCTATACTTGCATATAGTCAAGAGGGTCAAGTGCAATCAATCCTTAAAACAAGGTCAGAGAATTAAGTTTCGATAGCTAACAAATACAAAAAAAATGCTCTAAAAATATATTTCTCTATTGATTTTTTTAAGTACTACTAAATCGGCTATCGGGCAGGATTTACAGGTTCCGCCGTCTAACGTCTTTTGAGTTTATCAACTGTCGCTCTTTCCATGACTATGGCCACGAAATGTGATATTACTAAAGCTAGGTTTAAATTTAATATACATTTAATCTCATTCAAGGAAGCAAGCAAGGATAGAGTCATTATTTTGACTTCGGGACGATTTTCATACTCTGTATACATCATTTTTTAATGCAAAGTACGTAATGAACAAAAAGTCTACTCTGTCTACGCAAAAGACATGAAGTCGATGATCGCTTTCATCTATACCACAGACAATCGAGACACGTCGTATTTAATGATGGCCACTCCCGATTGAGCGGGAAATTCCGAATGTTTTACAATGTTTTTATTTCAACGTTCCTCAGGTAATCAATTCCGTGAAACAACTATTAATAATTCTAACTTTTACCAATAACACTCTGACATAATTCGAAACATTTTTTAACTTGATTTTTGTTGTAAATAATAACTTTACATGGTTTAATTGACTCGGGTTTCTTCGTTAATCTTCGTATTTGTACGCCTTACGTCACGAAATTCGGACCGATCCTGCGTCAAATCAGAACTTCCGGCAGTCACGTGGTATCTGTAAACCAATCACAGTGCTTTATTTCTTTGTAGGCCGACATTTTCTGACAAGCGTAGAAAAAGTTTTCATCAACAGCCGCCATTTTGCGCTGGAGAGACTAAGAAGAATTTAGGAATTTGTCGTGTAAATTTTCTGTTTTTTTCTTACATCATACCATTATAAACTGTATCATTCCGTGTATTTTAATGTGTTAAGTGAAATTGCGTAGTTTGATCAAAGAAATAAATTTCATAAAGTAGACAAATCTGGTGATATTGTTTTCATTTATTGTGCTAGTTCCGACGGAAGATGGTGAGAGGGTCTGTGTAGCTCTTCGATTCGGAGCTTTGTAATGGCGAATACTTGAGTGAGAATTATAATATGTGCCTTCTACGATGCGAAGGACATCGAACGATTGTGATGTGGGTGAATTATATTATGATGAATGACAAATCTCTTTAAAATGTTATTTCTTGAAGATATAAGACATAAAAGTGTTATTTGAATCGGCGGGCCGAAATATTCACGACGGCTTACGTTTAGTAAACAGAGCCATGGCCGATGAGCCGCCTAACAAGCGGCCGAAGATGATCAGGGACCCTTTTCAGGGTCCCTCTGACTCCACGGGTGAGTATTTTAATATTATTGTAGAGTTACTGAAGTGTTGGATCGGTGTTCTGACATATTATCTTTCTTTGAATTTTGACATTTTGCTTCGTTCTTGTAAGCGCCTTGTAAGTTTTGCGTCGTATTTATTGTTTCTTCTTAGCTGGATCCAAAAAATAAGAAATTAACGATGATATTTATGTATTTCTAGAACAGAATCGAAGTTAGTAAAAGTAGTTTCATTTATTATTTTTGTAAAGAACTTCTTTCAACTTTTTGTGAATTTAAATTTTAAATATCTTTGCAATCAAACACTTTAATCTTGAATAGGCTTTTATAATTCCAATATGTATTGGAATTATAGTTTAGGGAATACCATATAATTTTTGTTTCATATTTTACCTTAATTTCATCTTCTAATAGAATGACAGTATATTTAGGTCATTTACAAATTATTACTAATTACAAATTCAATTGTACGAACAAAGCTCAAATAATATAAATAAATGAAAAAAAAAAGATATAAATAATTAAAAAGATAAATAATTAAGCAATTTTTTATTTAAATAAATGAAACAATTATGAGTTAATACTAGTCACAAAGCCCAAAGCGAATTTAGTGTTTTGTTGATTTTCATCCACATGATAAACATAACATGTAACTTTGACAGTTGTGATAATACATAACCTATTACACATGCTGTCTTAATACCTGCATTTGTAAGATCATCCAAATAATGTAAAAACTTCCTTTGAAAACCTTTATTCAATAATTTTATACAGGAGTAAACATTACTGTGAATAGTGTTAAAATATAGTAACTTGTTTCACTGCAATATTTTTTTACAAATAATAAATAAAAGCCTTATCATTTCTGTCTTATAATTTGTGTAAAACATATTTTACTAATTGAATTTGTGTTGTGTACATTTTGAAGTTTTATTTCTCAAAAGTCTTATTTTTTTAAATCATTGGAAGTAAGATAATTTGTAAATTACATTAAGAAGATTTAGGCTTAGTGTAGAATTGAAGAAAAAAAAAACTGATATACAGTATTTAATAAATGAATATATTAAATTTAATGGAGTTTCTTTTTGTTTGATCTTTGAATTATGTTCATAAAACAAAAGTCATTTTTGTTATCATCATCATCATGCTGGACAAAAGATCATAAAAAGGTAGCTTAACCAGATTTGACAGTATTATAAAATCCTTAATATCTAAAAATAAATATCTATATCACTTTTTAAATCTTAGTTGCTACTTTTTAAATCTTAGTTGCACCATCAGATATGGAAATTTTAATTTTAATTTTTATGAGTTTTCATTTTGCTTAACATTTTAGCAAAATTGCTTAGATTAAAATATCAAAAATAGTGACTAAGTTTAAGTTCCATTGAAAACTCATGTGATAAATTAGCAAACTGCTCATTATGTCTTTGAAAAGATATGTCAAAATAATTGAGAATACAGTTTCTACAGACTTGAGTCTCTCAGAAAAGATTTGCTTTATTAGTCCAATAGTGCTGACACATCTGTCTTCCCAGCCTTACTCTCATTTCATGGTGAAGTTAGTTCTCTGCAATTTTTTTCTACTTTGCCCTGTTCTAAACTTCCTGTTCAGAGGTACCAATCTATATTTCTGCAATAGGTTTTATTTTGCTATCATTTGATATAATTAAATGGCAAAAAACTACAACCACTTGAAAAATATAACTATTTTATAAAGTAAAATTTCATTCCACATATTAGATTTTTGTGATATTCCCTAAATAAATAATATAAGTTAATTACAAAATTGAATTACTACTAGTATTAAAGACAAAAAACTTTGATCAGACAAATGTAAGAATAGAAATCAAATATATAAATATTTCTCGACCAAAACTTAACAACAAAATTAATAAGTTACAATTAATCTAATAAATTCAAAGTGTTTATACTGTTTTGAATATTTATGTATAAAAGATCAAGTATAATTAATGTATTTGTGGTATAATTTGAAATTAATGCATTTCAATGAAATTAAAAGGAGATTGAAATACCAAGTACAAATTTAAGATGGGGCAGCAATAAATATCTGATTAGATTTGTTCTTAAGTGTTAGATGCTAGATTAGGCCCTTAAATATGTAAAAATTATTGAATCCATCAGAAGGAAATCAGCTTGAGACCTACCTCATTATCATAATAATTATTGTCAGAATAATTTCACTAGTCTGTCAGTTTGGCAAAAATATAATACAAAGTTGGTTTCATAATTTCCCACCAAATATTAAATATTTTTAAAATTAGTATAGATACCATAATGAAAAATTTCTATGAAACACATCTGTGTAGCTTAGTTTTTAGCAGCTCACAATACTCTCCTACTACATCATCATCATTATTCCCCAAAAATAATGATAAATAATTTTGTGAACTTTGATGTTGGTAATGACAAATCTCAGGCCGTTAAGTTTTTTAAACGATTAAAAATATGATTAATATGTAATAAAAAAGTTTAATCAATTACTGAATGGTAAGATCTCCTTACAAATACAACAACACAAAAAGCTTCAAAGAAATAGCTTTCAAGACACTAAGAATTTAAAGCTAACTAACTTTCATACCTTTATGCCTTACGTTAAATTTGCACCCTAGGCTTTAGATAAAATTTTATAAGTAAAAATACTTTTAAGTTCTAGGATGCTAAGGCTAGTCTGGTGTAAAATAGTTCCTTGACCCAATGACCATAACAAGAAAACTGCTGTTACTTACTGAAGCCACGAGGTCGATCTCACGATTCAGAATATATATGTGCCACAATTGTGCTACAAAAATATGCATAAAGGTAGTAAAGATGAAAATATGTGTAGTAAAGTGTGGGCTGACAACAGCCCAGTATAATATGGATAATATTTGTTGAATAGATTAGAAATCAATCAAATGGACTATTAAAATTCATATAAGTAATTATGTTAAAGTTTTTGAGCCATTGGAGGTTTTTTGAGCTGCTTTAACTACTTTCTACCATGTCAACCAGTGAGCTTGTTCATTCATTAAAACAATGAAATAAGATATTGTACCAATCGGTCCATATTTTGACCATTTCATTATTTATTTTTCAAATGGTTTTTTTCTTCCCTGTTGTAGCATAGAGGTTAAAGAGAAAATCAAAAAGATAATTTTCTTTTTTGTTTATTTTTAAATACATAGATTTAATTTTAGTCATTCTGCCAAAAGTGTTAACATTAATACTTTGAAAATTTTCTGATTTAGAGTAATTTAATTATTAGGTTGCCATGAATACTATAGTACCATTATTTCACTGTCAACCCCCATTTTTATGAAATTTGGGTTAAATAAACCAACAGGTTTTCTAACCACTAAAGAATTCATAAAGTATCTTAAATATATTTGACAAAACCATAAAATGTCAAATATAAATGATACTTTTAAAGCAGAAGTAATTATATTAATTATATAAAAGTATTTTTATAATATACAGAAGTATTAAAAATAGAAATTAATCTGATAATAGTGGTAATAGTAAAAGAATTCATGGAAAAAATACTGTTATACCAAATAAATTCAATTACTGTGTGTTATTAATAATAATAATAACTGGGTACAAACCACACACGGTCATCTAGCCTCAATTTAAGATTCCCTGTGTTATGGGTACCAGAGACTAATAAACATATTTGTATATGCTTAAATATATGCATATATAGATAATAACCACCCAGACAATGAGCAAACAAACCTGTTCACCACACAATGATTGGACGACGACTCAAAGCAAACTCTTTTTAGCTTATCCAATACTACAAATCGATCTGTATTGATCCACATTTTAATTTAACTATTATGCTCACCCATTGGTTGAACTTTGTAGTTTAACAGGTATATTGGTCTAAAATTATCTATACTGTGAAAAAACGAAGAAAAAGATCAGGGGGATTTACTTATGTCTGAATTATTTACAAAGTAAAACAATATATAGCAGATATTCTACATTAATAGATGTTTTGATCAATGAACAATAATTATTCTATTATTTGTTACACATCAATATAATAATAAATTGTTTGATACAAAAGGCCGTGATCTGACATTTCTCAATGACTTAAATCATCACACATCACACATAACTGAGAATTTTTAAGTAACTAATATCTTGTACTGTTAACAGCTGATGGATTCTCAAACCTTGACATGTTTGACCTCGAAAAGGACCTCCCTGATGAATTAATGGGAGGTCCATGGGGTGAGCAGCCGGGAGTTCCGGGCCCCAAGCCCCCGGCGCAAGGATTGGGGCCTGGGCAAATGGCCCCTCAGCAGCAGCTCAATGGAGATGATCCTGCAGCTGCTATGCACAGACAGATCAATAATCATCTTTTACAAGTGAGTACCTGGGACTGTAGATATTGATTAAAATTTAAAGTAATATTATTTATTGTGCTATATTTTAAAAACATATTGACTAACAAGGAAATTTCGTTTGCTGGTCTTTTCACAGGGCAACAAGAGTGGCTTAGTTGGCCACAACAATCCTTTAGGATTGAGTAGTTTAGGCAGTAAGAGTCCAAACTTACAGTCACCTCCAAATGTGTCTGTATCAAAGGACCTCATGGGTGGCATGCACCAATTAATGCCAAATACGAGTCACCCAAATCAACTACATTCGACAATGCCGATGAGTTCAATTCAAGGCGGCATGAACGTCACAAACGTTGGGAATATGATTGTGACAAATAGTAATATGACTGGAGCAGGGATGCTTGGAAGTGGGATAATTAACAATGTAAACAAGCAGCTGCCGACACTGATGGGCAACAGCCATCATGGGACACATCATCCTCATGCACAGGTGTGTATTTGTATAGTTGTTGATTACTACTATGATATGTTTTCGAACAGAAAAAATATTTCCATGACCTGACAGAACGGTATTTTACAGGCGATACAAAACGGGCCCATCGGTGGACGAGTAGGCGGGGTTGGGATGCAGGCGCCGAATATTCGCGCTCCATTACAGCATCACCCCCGAATGCAAGCGCCAGGTGGCGGCGGTCATCCGCTTGCTCCATATCATCCAACGTACGGGCAGTCTGCAACAGGAGCCGGTGCCGCGGCGGGGGCTCCGCTACCACAAAGACCCGCCGGTGTCCGGTTCGGTCCGTCGGGCGAGATGGGAGCTGGAGGAGGCGGGGCTGCCGCTGCTGTCCCTCCCGCTCCGTCACCGCAGACTCCCGGGGCTCCGGCGGGGGGCCAGTCGCAACCGCAGGCCGCCACCCAAGCTCCTGCTCAGCAACCTGCCGGCCCTCAGCAACCTCCCGCCGGTTCCATTGCAGACCCAGAAAAACGTAAACTTATTCAGCAGCAGCTTGTTCTACTGTTACATGCACACAAATGTCAACGACGCGAGTCTCAGTCAAATGGAGAGTCGTGGCAATGCTATTTACCTCATTGTAAAACAATGAAAGGTGTACTAAATCACATGATGTCATGTCAGGTAAGATTTTACCAAATTAAAATATCTGCACTTTGTTCAAATTGAGATTATGAAGTTGTCTTGATGATCAATCATTGTTCTAAAATTTTAGGCTGGAAAAAGTTGTACTGTACCGCATTGTTCGTCGTCGCGACAAATTATCAACCATTGGAAACATTGCAACAAAAATGACTGTCCTGTATGTTTGCCTCTGAAACAAGCGGACCGAACTCGCAGCATAAACGGTGAGTCCGTCAGAACGAACGTAATTTCTGAAATATTACGAAGTTGTCAAGCGACCGGCCGATCACTAAACGAGTGTCCGAAACCAACAGCCGCGGCGGGAGGACAGGCTCCCCACGTGACCACCGGAGTGGCGAGTGGGGTGACGGGCGGCGTGGCCAGCGGGGTGGGTGGCGGCGGAGGCGCAGGCGGCATGGCCAGCGTCGGCATAGGTGTGGGCAGCGGCGGCACTGTGCAAGGCACGATAGGCGTCGCGCAACAGTTGAGCGCACCTACGCAAGAGGCCAATATGAAACGCGCATATGAGGCGCTTGGTATAACGTGCCCCACTTCTGTGCCGAACATGGGCGGTGGATTTCCTCGCGCCCCTGTGCGTATGCCGGCCCCGCGCCCTCCTCCGCTCACGGACGTGGTGCCGCAGCAACAGACGCAGTCCGTACAGTCGCTGTTCTCGCACCAACCGCAGCCGGACATGCAGACGCAACAACAGCAACAACAACCCCAGCAACAAACCCAGACGCAGCAGCAACAACAGCAACAACAACTGGTGAGACCTGTTCCTTTTGAAATACACCTATAACATTTATTTAATTAGTCCAGTGACAATACCCATGCTCTACATTAGAATATTATTTTAACTCAGATGGGGACGGGATCCCTCCAGCTCCCGGGTGGAGCCGTGACCGCCAATCCAGTATCGGGAACGAAGGAGTGGCACCAATCGATCACGGCTGATCTCAGAAACCACCTAGTCCACAAACTGTGAGTACTTTAAAAATGTTCATAATATGAAATTATTGTGTCTATCCATTTCTGTTCGTAAAATTAAATGTACACTAAATCATTCTTAATTTCGTAGGGTTCAAGCGATATTCCCGACACCAGACCCATCGGCGATGCTCGATAAACGGATGCACAACTTAGTAGCTTATGCTAGAAAGGTTGAGGGTGACATGTATGAAATGGCATGTACGCGATCAGAATATTATCACTTGCTAGCTGAGAAAATCTATAAAATTCAGAAAGAGCTAGAAGAAAAAAGACAAAAAAGAAAAGAGCAACAACAGTTGGCCGCCCAGGCTGCACAGCAACAAGCGCAGCAGCAGGCCCAGTCACAGGTAATTTTTTTCTTGCACTTAACAACTACTTAGTAACTTAATCAAACTAAGTGAAGCAGTATTAACTAGATTTATAATTTTTTTTATAAATAGGTCAATTACATGAACCAATGTAATAAACAGGTGCAGCTTCAGCAACAAGGTGTTGGAAGTGCAGGCCAGGTAGGCGGAGGTGTTGGCGTGGGCGGCGCTGCCAGGGCGGCACTGGGCCGTGGCGGGCTGGCCGGGACCGCACCTCTCGGCATGCGCATTCCTTCGCCCGGCATCGCACTCTCCATGCCCACGGCAAGACTGCCCTTCCAGAATAACCTTGTGGGACCGCCCGGACCTAGTCCCAACCAGGTAAATTGTCTTTCCTATTCGTTTTGATTAAGTACTCCATATGTACCAATATTACCAATGATTTTGACAAGTAAAAAGTCATAAGGGGCCATCCATAAAGTACGTCACACGAATTTTAGGACTTTTGAACCCCTCCCTCCCTCCTTGTCACAGGTTGTCACATTTTTATAACCCCCCCCTCCTGATGTGACGTCACACATTTTTTAAATTTATGTATGTATTTAAAAATAATCGAGAGAAAACAGCTATTTTCATTTTTTACTTATTTTTATTAAATAATAATCTAATAAAATCAACATAAAGTCCAACATTTCATAAAACCGAAAAAACAAACGACTAGTTAGAAAATAATAAACGATTAATTATATTAATTAAAGATAAAAAACTTAATTATCGAGTGTCCATGGACTTTGGATCCACTCTTTTATATCAGCTATTACTGGTAAATCAGGCACTTCATTTTCGTTCTGAATTTGAACGTCAGGAACATCCTAATTTGAGTGTCTCACTTGCATTACAACGCCGCTCTAGAAGTTAAATGACGTTGCATGAGAGATTATCGCATAGCGAGAATGCTAAATTATTAATAAATATAGATCAAGTTTGTAAATTTTTAAAATTTTTAATTCACATACAAACTTTGCGTTTTAGTATTTTAAATTTTAACATGTGACGTCACAAAAGTATTGACCCCCCCATGCCCCTTGTCACACGATGTCACACTTCGGTGATACCCTCCCTCCCCATTAACGTGTGACGTACTTTATGGATGGCCCCTTAAGAGTATCCTCCCTAGTCTAAAAAATAAATAAAAAAAAAGTATGCGACCTAAATTACTAACAATATAATATATAACTAATCATACAAAATCCAAAAAATATATATATTAATAAATAAATAATATCTTTAAACATGAGAAATTAATTGATTTCATTTGTTGCCCATCAGATGGGTCAAACGTCGAATGGAAGTGTGGGTAGTGTGGGTGCGCCGGGCATGTCGCCGTTCGGGTCGTTGACCTCCCCCGCCCCCCACTACGCGCAGACCAACGGACCCGCGCCGCTTGCCTCCCCCACGCACCAACACATCGACACTAACAAGGTAAACCTACAGTACATCTGTAGCCTTTATCTTTCATTAGATTCACGTCAGGAGGTTGGCAATGGATGATGAACCCAGAATAAAAGGAAGGGTGGAGTCCTGTTTCAATTATGAAATTTTAGTATCCCATTGTTAGTCCAATACATGGGTTACTTTTGATTAGGCAAGTTCTGCTCAAGAAAGTCGAGAAAGATTGACAAATGCAACTCGGGGTACTGCTATTTTTGACCAAAACATAAAATTAAAGTTTACAACCGGCATATGTTGCAATGACAACCCATGTAGATAGTATACTATACTAAAAAACAGTTTTTTAAAAACAGATTAACATGAATTTAGAAAAGTAGACTACTTGGGTAAAAGATAATAGAGATGTAATATAATTTGTTTTGGATTTAGTGGAAAACTATTGAAAGTTATTTACATTGTTTATGATATAGTGCGTGCGTGGCGGTGCGAGTCCGTTCGTGGGAGTGAACTCGCCCGCGCCCGGCACCCCCGCCACTCCCGCGCGCGCCTCCCCCGCGCCCGCCCGCCACCTGCCGCCGCCGCCGCCCCCGCAGCCGCAGCACCACCCGCTCGTGCAACACGAACAGAGGTAAATCTGCACTATCATATTATAAGATTCTCTGACGTGTTCATTGCACCGATTGTTGTTGCTAAACTTCAATAAATACAACATAAATATTTTAAAAAAAATCTTATAACATTTGGCCTCTGAATCGGATGCAACAAATACTTGAAAACCATGGTCTAATTAGAGTTTAACTTGAGAATACTTTGCTTTACATCTTCATACTTAATTTTTATATTTTGTAGTTTTTTATATTGAATCTTTTTATCGCTCACAGTCCCCAACAACAAGAAGAAATTCGTGTCAAACAAGAACCAGAGGAGCCTCGGATTAAAGAAGAACCCGAGGATGACTGTGGCGGAAAAGGAATGCGGGATGAGATTGTTTCTCAAAAAGATTCAAGCGAACCGGACTTCATGGTTAAACAAGAGATCAAGCAAGAAATTAAACAAGAAGCTAAACAAGAAGTCANTTTTATCGCTCACAGTCCCCAACAACAAGAAGAAATTCGTGTCAAACAAGAACCAGAGGAGCCTCGGATTAAAGAAGAACCCGAGGATGACTGTGGCGGAAAAGGAATGCGGGATGAGATTGTTTCTCAAAAAGATTCAAGCGAACCGGACTTCATGGTTAAACAAGAGATCAAGCAAGAAATTAAACAAGAAGCTAAACAAGAAGTCAAACAAGAAACTAAGCTGGAAGTCAAAGCGGAGATCAAAGAAGAACCCACGGAGAGCACTACTGACTTGAATAATGCCGACCGAGGGACGAGGAAGATCTTTGTGTTCAAACCCGAGGACCTGCGGCAGGCGCTCATGCCCACACTCGAACAAATGTTCCGACAAGACCCCGAGTCCCTGCCCTTCCGCCAGCCCGTCGACGCGCAGGCGCTGTGCATCCCGGACTACTTCGATATCGTCAGTAAACCGATCGACTTGTCCACCATCAAGTCGAAGCTGGACCGCGGCGTCTACAAGGACCCCTGGGAGTATGTCGACGACGTGTGGCTGATGTTCGAGAACGCCTGGCTCTACAATAGAAAAAATTCTAGAGTTTACAGATATTGTACTAAGGTAAGATATTTGAATACATGATGTATCAAAATATTGATTATGTGAGTAAATTTTTCCAAACAAATTCTATAGACTTAATATTATATTTTATTTTTCATTGTCCAGCTATCAGAAGTATTCGAGCAGGAGATTGATCCCGTGATGCAGAGTTTGGGCTATTGTTGTGGACGAAAATACACATTCAATCCCCAAGTGTTATGCTGTTACGGCAAACAACTGTGTACCATCCCGAGAGACGCCAAGTACTTCAGCTACAAGAACAGGTGAAGAGAATTACACTCAATAGCTTATTGAAGTGGAGCTGTATAATAATATCTTACACCGAAATTAATGTGTTCATAACGACAGTACACATACTGATTTTGGTTTAAAATTACCTACATGAAATAAGCATTCTATTAAAATTTTACAACACTTTAAAGTGTAAGGTTATTGTTATATAGCTTCAATATTTCACATTAAGTTTATACTATGATCTATAAAGTGCTTATGATAAACAATTGGTTAGTAAACACTGTAATCTATGTATGTATAATTTTAGTTAAAAATGAAGTAAGAACATAAGCTCCATTAAATAATCAATTAAAATGTTTATCATGAACATCTTATTACTGCTTGAAATAATATGCATATGCAAGTATTAATCACTAAAACAGTAGGAATTTTTATTTTGCCATAATTTTGGTAGGACCTCTTGTGAGTCCGCACGGGTTGGTACCACCGCCCTGCCTATTCCTGTCGTGAAGCAGTAATGCGTTTCGGTTTGAAAGGTGGGGCAGCCGTTGTAGCTATACTTGAGACCTCAGAATTTATATCGCATTTATATCGTAGATGTCTATGGGCTCTAGTAACCAATTAACACCAGGTGGGCTGTGAGCTGGTCCACCCATGTAAGCAATAAAAAAAACATGGCCACATTGCAGAGGTGGTGACTAAACAAATACTATACAAATTAAACAAAAATTTACTATATTTCGAAAATGGCGAGCAATGTAAAACAATCCGGCTCGAACTCAGGGCAAGTTTCCGTTCCATTGCGGGCTCACAAAATACGTTTTGGGAAACCTACATTGCTTGGCGTTCGCGTGCGGGTAGTAGTAGTTTATTCCCTTTGCGGCTTCGACTAAAATATAATTCAACTAGATTTTGGTATTAATAGATTCGTATCCTTCGTCTGTCTTCTTTGAAAATGCATATTATTTTAAAGCATTTTAATGAGTTAATACCACATCATAGTATTAAGTGTGAAAGTTTGAGACAAGAGCAACAAGCAGCCTTTGAGGCGACAGGAAAACCGAATTTTCTCATATATTTGTTTATTTGTGTAAATAGCCATCAAAATTATTTTTTTATTGGTCACCACCAAATGACCACCTTGAGGGCTTACGAGTTTCTACGTCTCGGCCCAAATCTTACCTACGATTCAAACAGACCGGGCGGTACAACTGGCGGGAAGTCACTTTATCGGAAGCTAAGACGAGTCCCGGCTAACCTCATGCTAACGGTTAAGTTACGGGAGCTTATAAACAATCGGTCTGGTCTAAAGTCAAAGTCAATCAATATACGTAACTGCACATACACTTCGCAGCGTTTGGACACGTTTTCGGGAAGCTATCAAATAGAAACAAAACAAATAGAAATGATAATATAAAAAAAATATGAAAAAGAGATATAAAAAGGATGACCGTGTTCTTTTAAAGAAAAAGTTTAACTTTCACACAGGGCAGTCTTGTTTCCTGCATCCCCATGAACTTGGTAGATGTTGCCTAGTCTTAAATTTTCTCTATAAGAAATGCTTTTCTATTATATCATTTGTTTTTCCAATATGTCCCTAACTCAGAGATATTTCTACTTGCACTTGTTGCAATTTTATTAATTTACTTCGGTTATAACATGATGCTTTTTCGAATTTATCACATTATATTTTGAATGAATCTTGACATGAAATTTCTATTTTAGATGATACAATGTCTACAAATTTCTAAAGTTTATTAATTACATGAAGTTTTAATTTCATTAATATCTCAAAATAATTTTTATTAAAGCGAATAAATGCGTTATATTGCTACAGAAGAAAATATTATAAATATCTACGGACATACCGTAATGTAACGGCCGTCAACCCGGCGCATGTAACACCTTGCGTGTCAAATAACTTTGTTATGATTACACGAGCCCTAGCGCACATCTCGGGGCATCTGCAAGTTGACCCCAGACATTGTCCGACATAATGCATCATCGCAATTCGAATACATTTCATACAATATATTTTAACGACCTTTCGATAAATTCTTAAATTGGCTAATTTTAAAGTCTTAATGTCGATAAATATGAGTGTTGCCGGGACGACAATTGTCCCGGCGCTCTTCATAAAATCTGACTTATCTACTTCGCAGGAGTTTCGCCTCCGATACTGTTTTGGAACTATATTGAAACAACTATCCTATAATTTTAAAATATATGTAAAAAACTTGAAGCATGTTCATGACTAGCTATCTAACTAAGAATTTTTAGTTTTCAAACGATAACGATGTTTTACGTTCTTAGAATTAGCGTGCCTTCAGGTTTTTTAAGGAACTATCCGTAAATGTATTTAATTTATATTATTATTATGAAATTAGTGTGAGATCTGCAGTTAGAGGTTATGCACTGTAAAACTTTTTTAGTGCATTTAGTTAATTGCGGCTAATATAGGAATTATTTCATAAATACGAGGTTCATTCTGTAGATCTCTCACTGTAAGGTCCGTCGGTAGTACGCCACGTTGGTAAAGGGCTGTGTCTGTCTAATCCGCCGTGTGTCCACTGTCTTACTATTAACCCCTTTTATGTTGTCATTGCTTACTAATTTATTTTTGGCCCTCTTGCCGCACGTCCTTTCCTGCACACAAAACGTTCCTGTACACGCTTCACACCACTACCGCCCCACGGACCGAAATTGTGAATAAAGTCTAAAAGCGTATGGGGTTGTCTCCGATAGATACACGTTCTGCCAGAAATGCTTCAATGAGATCCAGGGCGACACCGTGACGCTCGGCGACGACCCGCTACAACCGCAGACGTGAGTCGATAAAACTATCTTAATTTATTTGGTTTAAGATTATTAAATCCTTTTTTTTTTTCATAACGTAATGACAATCTCTAAAGAATTTTAAAGTAAATAATAAAATATATATAAATATCCATCTTAAGATCATATACTGACTGTAAATTATTGTATGAGGTTAATGTAGTTTTGAATGATATTGAAATAAAAGCTTTCACCTATTGTTTAGTATGGAATTTAAATCGACCAAAAATAAAACCTCTTATTTTAAAGTTATCATTCAAAGAATTCTAACAGGTTGTTTAATTGAAAAAATTTCAGTGCTATTAAAAAGGATCAGTTTAAAGAAATGAAAAATGACCATTTGGAACAAGAACCGTTTGTTATGTGCATGGACTGTGGCAGGAAACAGCACCAGATCTGTGTATTACACCATGATTCGATATGGCCCCAGGGCTTCTGCTGTGATAATTGTTTGAAGAAGAAGGGGGGCAAACGGAAAGAGAACAAGTTTAGTGCGAAGAAACTGCCCACCTCTAAACTTGGCATTTATATTGAAACTAGAGTCAATAATTTCCTAAAGAAGAAAGAGGCTGGTGCCGGTGAAGTGCATATCAGGGTTGTCGCCTCTTCTGATAAGGTGAATAGTCCTGCTTATAATTATTAGAATTGCTAGTCACAATAAACAGTGAATTTATTACAGGTTATTTATTTGAATAGTTAGAAAAATGTATAATAATGCTTTTTGTTACAGATAGTAGAAGTGAAACCAGGAATGAAAACAAGATTCGTAGAGCCTGGTGAATTATCTCCCGAATTCCCGTACAGGGCCAAAGCTTTATTTGCATTTGAAGAAGTTGATGGGACTGATATTTGTTTCTTTGGTATGCATGTGCAGGTGAGAATATAGACTTATTTATTAGATTAGAAGAAAAGTGCTTGCATTCTTAATTTATTATTCTACAATATTTCAGGAATACGGCAGTGAGAGTCCGTCACCCAATACGAGGCGCGTTTATATAGCATATCTAGACTCGGTACATTTCTTTCAACCGCGTCAGTGCAGGACGGCAGTGTACCATGAGATTTTATTAGGATATTTAGATTATGCTAAGCAACTCGGTTATACCATGGCACACATATGGGCGTGTCCGCCGTCGGAGGGAGATGACTATATTTTCCACTGTCATCCACCTGAACAAAAAATTCCAAAGCCCAAAAGGTTGCAAGAGTGGTATAAGAAAATGTTAGATAAAGGAATTATAGAGAGGATAATATTAGACTATAAAGACATTCTCAAACAAGCAATGGAGGACAACATCTCTTCAGCGGCTGAGCTGCCGTATTTTGAGGGCGACTTCTGGCCGAATGTACTAGAAGAGTCCATAAAAGAATTAGATCAGGAGGAAGAGGAGAAAAGAAAGCAGGCAGAAGCCGCCGAGGCAGTGGTCAGTATGGTTCTTTTCCTAGCAATAAGCTTAATTGTCTTAGTTGAAGTTTTTATCAGAATATTTTGGATCAGTTTTTTTCTTCAACTAATAAGTTTAGCATGTTGCTGGTGTATTATTTTTGAAATACGAAATTGGAAGACATACTCTAACATGTCTTTTAGATATTCCAGTCGTCAGAGGAGAACGAGCAGGGCCCTGATGGTAAGAAGAAAGGCCAGAAGAAGGCGAAGAAATCAAACAAGTCAAAGGCGGCCCAGAGAAAGAACAGCAAGAAACAAAGTGATCAGCAACAGGGAAGTGATCTCAGTGCAAAAATATTTGCAACCATGGAGAAACACAAGGAAGTGTTCTTCGTTATAAGGCTACATTCCGCACAGTCTGCTGCTAGTTTAGCTGTAAGTCTCAAGTTTTGTTGCATTAAATTAATTTTATTTTATATATTTTTATTGCCTAAATAAATTTTAACTAGAATGTGGTCCACCTTTGGTGAGTGGTCACCGTGGCATATGATCATCAGCAACTACAATGGGATAGCCATGCTGCCGTGAGACGCTCAATGAAATCCTGCATTCATGATGTATAGATAATGCTGTCTTCATTGAATTTTTTATAATGTTAGTTTTATGGATTTTATAATTTTTTTTCAGCCTATCCAAGACCCTGATCCATTATTAAATTGTGACCTCATGGACGGTCGTGACGCGTTCTTAACCATGGCGCGAGATCGACATTACGAGTTTTCGTCGACAAGAAGGGCGAGGTACTCGACGCTATGCATGCTGTACGAGCTGCACAACCAGGGCCAGGACAAGTTCGTGTACACGTGCAACAGCTGCAAGTCGCACGTCGAGACCAGGTACCACTGCACCGTCTGCGACGACTTCGACCTGTGCGTGCCCTGCTACGAGAAGGAGGGACATCCGCACACCATGGAGAAGCTCGGCCTCGACATCGACGTGGGCTCCTCGCCGGGAGACATGAAGCAAGCCAACCCGCAGGAGGCGCGCAAGCAGTCCATCCAGCGCTGCATCCAGTCCCTGGTGCACGCGTGCCAGTGCCGCGACGCCAACTGCAGGCTGCCGTCCTGCCAGAAGATGAAGCGGGTCGTCACCCACACCAAGATCTGCAAGCGAAAGACGAAGGGCGACTGTCCGATCTGCAAGCAACTGATAGCGCTGTGCTGCTACCACGCCAAGCACTGCACGGAGTCGAAGTGCTCGGTGCCGTTCTGCAGCAGCATCAAGCAGAAGCTGAAGCAGCAGAAGGTGCAGCAGCGCGTGCAGCAGGCCAAGCTGCTGCGGCGGCGCATGGCGGCCATGAACACGCGCGCCGCCCCGCCCTCCTCCCCGCCGCCGCACGCGCTCGCCTCGCCGCCCCCCTCCAAGCCCGCCGCCACGCACGTGCCGCACAACGTGCAGAAGGCGCTGCAGCAGGTAATACAATTAATCTGATCTCGCATCATGTCAAACGACATCAAAGGTCCAACGCCCCGAATGTTGTTTAGAACTAGCTTAATATGCAATTTGATAGTGCAATACTGGGCTTTTTTCCGTTTTGTATTTAATTGTATAGATAGTTCAAAGAGTTCTTAGCTCACTTGGCTTAAAGTAGTGACCGGAGTCCACAGATATCAAAATGTAAATGTCACCCCCGTCGGGACATGCGAGGCCGAGCTCACGGCAGGGTCGTGCCTCCAGCCGGCGCGGCCCTATCTATAATAAATCCTAAAACAAAATTACTGTTATAGTAACAACTAATATTAATTAAAAAAGTTATCTTTCAATCTGCGAAAAGTAAGATTAGTTTTATCCAAAGTACAAAATTACTGAAATACAAATTAATTTTGTTATGGTATTTCACAATAATTGCGTACACGATAGTAGATTAATTTAAATATTTTTTCTACAATAATATAATAATAATTGTTTTGTTAATCTACATTCAGTTCGAAAATACTGTTGTACCGTGCGTTAAAATTGAATTATATATGTGATAGAGCCAACGCTATTTTTACACGGCTTCAATAAATACTTTGTTTTCAACACGCGCCAGACTGCATCATCACATTTATACTAGAGAGGCATTAGTGCCAGTGATTCCTCTTCTAATGCTCGTATTAGGAAGAAATTGCCACATTGGCATATTATCGCAACATATGCATAAAGTGAATGCTTTTCAGCAGTAATCACAAAGGCAGTAGCTGATTGCAAGTATTGCCAGGTGGAGTGTTCGTTTTTTTTTTAAGGGATTTCATGACCTAGTAACTAAGACCTTCAAGTCATGTCTTATTTTAATTTATATTATTCTTATTTTTATGTAAAATGATAATATGGAGTGAAATGAAATGAAGATGATTAATTTGAGACATTAATCAACTGGGATGAAATTAAATGAAATGAAATGACATAGGATGAAATATAATCTCAGTAAAATGATGGTCATTTACTGAGATTTTTTCAGTGGACTTTTTTTGTTTCATTTTCTCACATTTGTGCACTTTCACAGATATTAAACAGTTAATAAACACCGTTATTACACATTTAAACCTGAAGAAACACTAAATAGATAAAATTAAACAAATCACACAACTTCACTCCTCGCGTTCTCGCCAAAAAGTCTGGAGTGTTACACATGGCAGTTCTAGTTTGCGGTCGGAATGGATAAGCATTGAGGGTGTCGCGCTATCCCGGCAGGTACAGGAGGAGGCGGCGCGACAGCAGGCGCCGTCGTACGGCAAGCAGGGCGCCATGGGGCCGCCCGGCGCCGCCGCCCGCGCCGACTGGGCCGCGCGCTACCGCCCGCCGCCGCCGCCGCCGCTGCACCACGCGCCGCACCTGCCGCGCCCGCACCACCTGCACGCCGCGCAGCCCGCGCCGCCCGCCATGCAGGTACCAGCACGCCCCCTCCCTCCTCAGCTTCGTTAATGCAATCTTACTGGTGGTAGGACCTCTTGTGAGTTCTCACGGGTAGGTACCACCACCCTGCCTATTTCTGCCGTGAAGCAGTAATCCGTTTCGGTTTGAAGGGCGGGGTAGCCGTTATAACTATACATGAGACCTTAGAACTTATATCTCAAGATGGGTGGCGCACTTACATTGTAGATGTCTATGGGCTCCAGTAACCACTTAACACCAGGTTTGCTGTGAGCTCGTCCACCTATCTAAGCTATAAAAAAATATATTACAATAATTGAATTACAAATTAGATAATTATATAATTACAATAACAGATTTCTTCTAAATTTCAAATCACTTTCATAGAAATAACGAGTGATCATAACTAAGATTTTAAAAAGTTGTAAAAGATGACAGATACATATTAAAATGTTTAAAAAATATTTTGGCTGTCTCTGATGTTAATCTGTTAATTAACAAAATTCTTATCAATTCAATGTTATCATCCGATCTTTCAATGTTGTGTTATCAGCAGCAACAGCGAGGCGCGAGTCCGGCCGGTCCGCAGCCGCAGATGCACCAGAAGGCACTTCAGCAGCTGATGGCCACGCTGCGCTCGCCCAGCAGTCACAACCAACAACAGGAGATATTGCAAATACTCAAATCCAATCCGCCGCTGATGGCCGCCTTCATAAAACAACGACAGGTAAGCTTCATTCAAGTTTAAACATTTCAACGGTCCAGTCCATTGAGCTATTCTTTTCATCCCGAGAGAGAAAGTCAAATAACACGATAATCATATTTGGACATAACACAGGATCAGGAGAGTAATATAGATAGATACATTGATTAAAAAAACGAGATGATTCTGATGATAAACTATTCAGATTATTGAAAATGTCGTGCGGTATTATTATAGTTACTTCATTTGTTTTTAAAACGTTTGATTAGATTTTAGCAATTGTAATAGAATAAGAGTGAACTGTTGCGGTTCCCACTGGAAAGATTTATACCGTTACAACCGCACGCGGCAACGGCGACAACGGCACTAGGAAATAGCACAAATAGACTGCAGCAATACCTAGTCAGGTCATAAGTATTGTCACACAGTAAAAACTTTCCTTTTAGAATGCTGGCCACAAACAAGTTTATTGAATTCGAATTTCGAATTGTTCATGAAAATAAAAATGTATACTTTTAGAATTTTACTCATTTTTAAATATGGAGTGGACGCTTAAAGAAGACCGTGTTGCAGTTATTGCGTTGCATCGTTGCGGTTACGCGCCAATTCAAATTTTTAGCATACTGAAAAATTTGAATATAACCAAAAGATTCGTTTATCGTACCATCAAACGATACAATGAAGACTCTAGTGTAGATGACAGGTCAAGAAGTGGTCGCCCTCGGTCTGTTAAGACTCCAGCAGTGATAAAAGCTGTGAAGGCGCGAATTTAAAGAAATCCCAAACGTAAGCAGAAACTGTTGGCCCTTCAGATGGGGTTAAGCAGAACCACGGTGAAAAGGGTGTTAAATGAAGACTTAGGGCTTCGGGCATATCGAAGAAAAACAGGACATCGTTTGAATGCTCGTCTAATGGACCTGAGACTGAAGAGATGCCGCGCTTTGTTGAAGCGGTACGCGGTAAAAAAATATCGGGAAATTCTTTTTTCGGATGAAAAAATTTTTACCGTAGAAGAGAGCTACAACAAACAAAATGATAAGGTGTACGCACACAGTAGTGAAGAAGCGAGCAACCGTATTCCGCGTGTCCAACGAGGTCATTTTCCATCCTCGCTCATGGTATGGTTGGGAGTTTCTTATTGGGGCTTAACAGAGGTACATTTTTGTGAGAAAGGTGTAAAAACGAATGCAGTTGTGTATCAAAATACAGTCCTGACGAACCTTGTGGAACCTGTTTCTCATACCATGTTCAATAACAGGCACTGGGTATTCCAACAAGATTCGGCGCCAGCTCATAGAGCGAAGAGCACACAAGACTGGCTGGCGGCGCGTGAAATCGACTTCATCCGGCACGAAGACTGGCCCTCCTCCAGTCCAGATTTGAATCCGTTAGATTACAAGATATGGCAACACTTGGAGGAAAAGGCGTGCTCAAAGCCTCATCCCAATTTGGAGTCACTCAAGACATCCTTGATTAAGGCAGCCGTCGATATTGACATGGACCTCGTTCGTGCTGCGATAGACGAATGGCCGCGCAGATTGAAGGCCTGTATTCAAAATCACGGAGGTCATTTTGAATAAACTTTAGTGTCATAAGAATCTATGTTTTGTTAAGTTCATTTTGGTATATGAATGGTTACATAATGAATAAACTTGTTTCAAATATTTTACATTAAACATGTGACAGAATTTATGACCTGACTAGGTAAAACTATCGTTACGCAGTAGGCAGCGGTCAGACGTAAACCTTACTACATATGTACCGCACGCGCACTCAAAGCCGCTCCACTGCGTTGTGGGGGTACGGAGGGGGGGAGGTGCTAGTATCGTGTAGTATAGTGATACTGGCGAATATGGGACGGGATCTTTTGGCGAGATATTACGGCTTGAGGAACCGTACCGTACCGCTCACCGACCCATCCAGGCCTAGCTAGAATAGTCCCCTAGGCTACCAGCGAATAGGTGGGGGGAAAAACAAGCTCATCGTCTGAGATTAATGTGTAAGTTCGTTAGTGTTACTGGTGGCCGTAGTTCAGGGACCCGCTAACCGCTCAATCGGATAGGCCGTGAGCTTGTGCACACATCTTCAAAGCATTTGAAGTTTTTCTTCATTATACTTCTCGCAAATGACTGGGAAATTGCCATGTTGATTTGATGCGAACTATGCTTCGTCTCAGCATTGCATGGCCTCCTTATCCTTCGGGAAAATTTTGAAGCGCGCTAAGATTAAAATTTAACTCGCGACAGATTTGTTACGGCTAGAGAGAAAAGATACAATTTAGGACGAGCGAGAGTGAGAAAATAGACAGAGCGTCTCGCGAACCACTCGACCGTGGAGAGGGAGAGAAAGCGAGCTAGGTCGTTTCTCTTATACACATTCTGTTTACGGGCGTCGGCCACTAATGGCTTGTTATTATTTTACCAAGTTAAGTTGCACACATAACATTTTTCTAGAATCTAATTTACCTTATCTATTTACGATACGATTTACAAAATGTTTATAATGAATATAATTGTTATTTTAGAACGCGCAAAATCAACAAGCGGGTGTAGGAGGCGTGGGCTCAGTGGGCGGGGTGTGCGGCGTTCCTCAGCAACAAGCGCCGTTGCAGCACATGATGCAGCCGCAGCAGCAGCAGCGACTGCAGCAGATGCACCAGATGTTGCCGCAGCAGCCGCAGGTAAGCAATTCATCTAACTGGTTTGATCTGATTTAAATTCTTGGAGGAGGAAAACTAAACTGCTATTTTCCTGAAAATGGACTCAAAAACAATTCACCATCGAATGTTTATGTAACACTAACATTTCTTTGTGTGACAGGCAATATAAAGCTAAAGAAGCCTTTATTAACAACTTTAATTCATATTTAGGTACATACTATTCATTTAATTTTTCTTTGCATTTGACATCAGCTAAGATTGTTTTGCTTTCGCATACCCGGTCGTGGCATTTCCTCTTCCGCGTAGAGCCTGCGACGTCCTTTATGTCGTCTACCCACCTTTGGAACGGTCGTCCTTTTAATTTTTCCCTTCCCGAGGGTACCATTCAATTACTAATTTAGCCTCTTTATTTTGTACCGTATGTTCCATTGGGAGTGCTCTGAGGAATTGTTCGAGATGATACCGGCATCTCGTTTTTACCATCGCACCGCCCACCAACGGAGTAGAGTTCATCCGTACTACCTGGAGCCACTGCGGTCATCCACAGTGCGTTTCCAGAGATCTTTTTTGCCTCGTACCATCCGGCTATGGAATGAGCTCCCCTCCACGGTGTTTCCCGAGCGCTATGACATGTCCTTCTTCAAAAGAGGCTTCTGGAGAGTATTAAGCGGTAGGCAGCGGCTTGGCTCTGCCCCTGGCATTGCTGAAGTCCATGGGCGACGGTAACCACTCACCATCAGGTGGGCCGCATCCTCGTCTGCCTACAAGGGCAATAAAAAAAAGCCCATTTTTCTGTTTATGTAACACAAATAGAAATCAGCTGACCTACTGTGTTGTTGACGTGTAGGAAATTACATTGCAATAAATATATCGACGCTTGAAAGGCAAACGTGACTAAGAGACAATGCGTGAACTTTACAGTAGACTAATTTAAAGTTGAAATACCTGAAAACAAAAGTTAACGAATCTAGCTGTTATAGAATCTAGCTAGTAGCTGTAGGATTGAAATGATTTTAATAGACCTAGAAATATATTTTTTTTGCGCATCGAACATGGTTATTGCCTATCATTTATGTAGGGTAGGCAGCGGCTTGGCTCTGCCCCTGGCATTGCTGAAGTCCATGGGCGACGGTAACCACTCACCATCACGTGGGTCGTATGCTCGACTGCCTACAAGGGCAATAAAAAAAAAAAAAAATGTATAAAGCAGTTATTGTCGCTTAGTCACGTTTGCCTTTCAAGCGTCGATATATCTTATTTAAATTTAACTTAAGTAAGTTAACTTGAAGTCGTCGTTGCATAAAGGATAAGACGTCCGGTGCATTCGTATGTAGCGATGCACCGATGTTCGAGTCCCGCAGGCGGGTACCAATTTTTCTAATGAAATACGTACTCAACAAATGTTCACGATTGACTTTCACGGTGAAGGAATAACATCGTGTAATAAAAATCAAACCCGCAAAAATTATAATTTGCGTAATCACTGGTGGTAGGACCTCTTGGGAGTCCGCACGGGTTGGTACCACCACCCCGCCTATCTCTGTCGTGAAGCAGTAATGCGTTTCGGTTCGAAGGGTAGGGCAGCCATTGTAACTATACTCTAGACCTTAGAACTTATATCTCGAGGTGGGTGGCGCATTTACGTTGTAGATGTCTATGGGCTCCAGTAACCACTTAACATCAGGTGGGCTGTGAGCTCGTCCATCCATCTAAGCAATAAAAAAAAAGTTTAGTAAATGAATGTCGTTTTCAATTTATTTCAATATAGGTTAGTTAATAGCTTTTAGCTATTTCGGCTTCAGGATACATTGCTCGAATAAATTACATACATATCTTCTACAGTAAAATATCTGGTTTGCAAATCTAGGAGGAATAATAGCATCGCAATTAGTTAACGCACAATACGTATATTTGAATTAATATTATATTTTAAAGTTTTTGGATATTATGAGAATATTTTCTCCATTTAGTGCATAAAACACAACTAACCAAAATAAGACTTCAAATATTTTTCTCGAAATTAATAATCTTTGACGAATATGTAATACGAAAGCGTGGCTACCTTGTTCGAATATTGCGCTCTTTCTCTCGATTGCACTTTATTGAAATGGTAACAAATACGAATTAAAGCAATATCAATCTTTCCAGTCAGTTGTAGTTACGATGTTATATAGAGAGTAACCCACTACTATTGTGCACAGGTGGGTGGTGTGTCAGGAGTGGGCACAGTGGGCGGCGTGTCCAACGTAGGCATGAGTGCAGTCGGCGCCGGCGGCGTGGGGACCGTAGGCGGCATGGCTCATAGTGCTGCCGGCGGTTGGTTTAAGCAAAACGCGGCGGCCGGCGTGGGCATGATGAGCATGCGTGGTGCATACGGCGGAGTGGGCGGCGTGGGTGCGGTGGGCGGAGCGGCGCGGCTGGGCGGTGCGGGCGCGCGCTACAGTTTCGTGGGCGGCGGCGTGGGTGGTGTGGGCGGCGTGGTGCAGCGGTCGCCGCCCGCCACGCCGTCGCCGCGCCCGCCCACGCCCTCCGAGCTCCACCTGCTGCGACAGTCGCCCGCACCGCCCGCGCCGCATCCGCCGCCCGACGACCAACTTCCGCCCATGACGCCGCAGGACCAGCTCACGAAGTTCGTCGAACAGTTGTAGTGTATATAGCAGAGGCGCGCGGTGCCGTCCTGTAATATATAATGTAATGGCGGCGCGCGCGCTCCCCCACCCTCCCCTCCCCTCGCTTCCCTTTCCTTGTTCCCGAGCCCTATTTATTGTCGATGAGTTGTGTTTTTGCGACGCGAGGGACGTAAATTAAGTATTACGGTGACCGAATCGAGAGCTCAATGTACAAAATGTAAATATGAGAGGAGAAACGTCCTGTCCGCTTCTGCGTAATTGTAAGTTGTTCGTAGTGTAGGTACATTATGATACTTATTCTGTTTATTGTAATTAAATCATTTTATAATATAATTATGTGATCATTATAAAAAGTTGTTTTAGTTTTTGAACCCATATACTAAGTTAAGTGTTTGAATATTCAAGTTGAACTAATGAAAAGATTTTTATTTGACAGCACAAAGGAAACGTAGGTCAGGATGTAGGAACGTACGTAGTCGGTCTGACGAGCGCCCTTCTGAATTAGTTAATAACTCCACCGCTGTAAAACATTATATACATAATATACAATCGTAATTATTGTTTTACGAGCAAATACAGTAAAGCAGTTGGATGCGTACGTTTTTGTTTGTCACGCAAAAATTGGGTTACAATGTTGTTACGAACACGTTAATGTTAAAAGTGTTGCCATGTGAAAATTTGTTCAAATTTTTTTGAAGTTAATCTTGGATATGCCAAGTGTGGAATTTTGAATGTATGATATGAATTAAAATGTGTTCATATCATGTAACAACTTTGCACTAATAATAGTTTGAACATTTTTGGTACAGCTATGTATTAAGCTCCTCTCAGAATATTAACATGTAATTTTTGAGGAATTTTGAAACCCTCAGTTGAAAGTCAAAGAAGCATAACATCCAGCGGTCTAATTCACGCAACAGTTAAATTATTTTGTGCTTTAACATGTTCTATTTTATTTGAACAGAAGATTTTTGTTGTTTTTGTACGATGTATAATTAAGTTAGATAGGCAGAATACTCTTTATTGTCAACACGGTGGTTCGGTGATGTACCGATTGCAAAAACAAAACTTTATAAACTGATGAAACGAACAAAAGAGACTATTTTTTTACAAATATTACATGTGAAATGTATGTCAGCTCCATATATACATTTGTGATATGAAAAGTTAGGAAATAGGAAAAAAATATTAGACTACGTCATAATGTTTAAGTAATTATCTTAAAGCCGGTTATGTTTCAGCGTTGCATCTTATTTTGTTACAGCCTTTATTATGAAAGAATGGATTTAATAAATGGAAACAAAAGTTGTTTTTCTTATAACTTTTAATATTACTTTCCAAGGTCTGCTACAGTGAAACAACAATGTAACTTTATCCCACAGATTTGTTGCACAGAAAGTCTTAAAATCTAACACAAATTAATGAATACTAGTAAGGTAGTAACGTAAATAATTTAACTTAAAGCACGGCGCGGGGACGTGACATTTTGTACTTTAGTTATTTGCAGGAAAATTAGTAACAAGTTATACACAAGACACAATATGATCCTAGGCTTACACACATTTTTGTCAAATATGGACAATCCGTTATTTTTCCTTTCAGTTGCAACACTTAAATCTCCTAACTAAGTACCTTTAAATGGCATTAGTGTAATGTTTTTTTTTTTTTACATAGCAGCACATTTAAATTAATTTTATGACCGCATTAAATAACTTAAAACATTTCGACATTAGGTAAGATTTTTGGATTGGAATAATTCAACTGAAAAATGATCTAGTCTAGAGGAACAAATATAAGTATCCACAAATTCGTATAAAAGCGATCCTTATTTCTAATGTCGCGATGTTATAATAAAACAGTGAATTTAGTTTGCTAGTTTTTAGGGAAGCATTAAAAAAACACACGGGCTGAATTGAGAGCTTTTTCATGTTTTTCAACCTGCCCATTTTAATTTTATATTTAAAACACTGCTGCTTAACAAAAATTTCGATTAAAGGAATGTGTAATAAATGATTTTGTTACATCCCTCGGATATCATTAATATGCCATCATTCAGTCTTTCATTTCATAGAACTGTTATTATTATATACAAAAAATATGCAATAAGTAAAAACAGCTAACATTGAACTTGTTATAACTTATTTACAATAAACAAATTTTTGACGATTTATATTTATTGAATAACTACGTTACGTTTTAAGTAATTCACCCAACAGACAAACCAAAACGATTTCCGCAACTTGACTGACACAGGTTTTTATGGCCTTATTGCATGTTCTAATCCAATTTGAAAAAAAATAATACGTAATATTATGATACCACAATCATGCCTTGATTTTTAAAACAGAAATATATTTTGGTTGCTTGATAGTATTCAATTTCTCCACAAAGTAAATTGTGAATCATTATTATTAGTGATTCAAAACTGATGATAGATATAAATTGACACCGTATATTGAAAACAATATATCAAATAAAAAAATTGGATTAAAACAAAACAAAATTGACAGTCTACTGAAAACAATATTGTTATTAGTTCATTTTGTAACGTTTTAAGAATAAACATTTGATTTAAGTAACACGGGAACGAATAGGTCACAACGAATTTTAAGTCGATGTACGTAGAACAATAATATATAAATTTATTCCAACGCTTGACAAGTGCCAACACAAAAGGCGATTCACGCTACAACGCAGTGGTTTCAATTAAGTAAATAATAATTAGTCTTTCGTTGGACTAGGAATGAGGTAGCCTGCATTTTCATTTCTCTAACTACAATGAAAACTCATTCACATTCTCAAGAAACACCGAATTAGGAAAATTGTTTTAAAAAAAAGTTTATGGTTTCTTGATTTCGAAGCAATAGCGTGAACTCATTGTGTATAATTTTTATAAGTGACCATAAGTTAAGTAAACTTGACAAATTGTAGCTTCAACACATACTTTAAACTAGAAAAATAGAGAAATAAGGTTCAATTATATGCAGTTAACCAATTAGTGAATGAAAGAATGAGAAGCAAAATGTTCTTCAAATTTGTCAATTTTACTTTGTAAAGCTACCGTCATTTTGCAATGAAAGTTCAATTTGTTTTCTTGTCGTCGTTGGGGAGAGCGGACGTGTCTGCTTCTTCGGGTTCTTCGTCCGAGTAGTTCCTGGGTTCTTCACCAGGCCTCAGAAGTCGACCGACCAGATCATAATTCTCTGAAATTACAGTTCGATAAGACTTTATAAATGACTACTACATACTAAAGACTATACATTGCGATTTATACCGGTGATAAGGAGTACACTGAGCTCCCTTGGACAAGGTTATGGTAGGTATGTATTTTACCCATTTCTGTCACACCGGTTTGGAAGGCCGGAAACGTTTATGAGTGACAATAACCACCTGTAGGGACACAGTTTGTTAGTAAAATAAAACGTAGCCATAACATGCGGCTGCGCCCGCAAGCTCCGTTCCTTGTTACTTTTAAGTGTGTTATTTAATTAATTAATGAACTTATATCTCAAGGTGGGTGGCACATTTAGGTTGTAGATGTCTATGGGCTCCAGTTACCACTTAACACCAGGTGGGCTGTGAGCTCGTCCACCTATCTAAGCAATAAAAAATAAATAAATAAAGTTGCCCGGTAAATCGACGGTCTGAATGTTTTTTTTTTTGGGAGGAAGTAATACTAGTGGCTCGGAGTTATTCCAGTTGGGAATATTCACCAGGTGGGTCGCACGGACTTAGTCATCAGCGGTGGGATTTGCCAACAGCTGTCAGCGGAGTGATATATTGGAAGCCTACTCTTAGTGCGAGAGCTGCAGGGATTAAATAATAGTTAGTGGATCGGATAGATCTGTAAGGCTGCCCCAAGCATCTATGGTGACTGACTCCTGCGTGAGCCGGAGTTGGGGAGTAGTCAGCGGCTGTAACGATTCAGCTATTATCATGGCGCATGGCCTTATCAAAGTACCGTTCCGGCGCTGATTTCAGGTGTTTCCTGATCCATTCTAGTCTCAGAATCCGAATGTTAGTGTTTGGTGCTTGTCTAAATGGCAACTTATCTTAAAATTATTGTTATTGAGAATCAGTAATATCTTGTATTTTATGATAGCCGCTACATATTGTCTACTATTGTAATATAACATCGCGACAAGTGGCACCTGAGCAGCGTAAACATGCAGATTATTATTATTATTTCTTAAACGTATTATTTCGTAACAATGTTAAAAATTACTGTAGGTAAAAGTGAAATGACGTCACGTTGCAGAAGCAACAGACGGGTAACGATATACTACACCAGTCATAGTTTTTTCTATTTTAACTATTGCCCAGCTGGAGGAAAATTAACAAAAAAACTACTACTAACTGTTAGTAGGCTATTTACAGTGGGAATGTAATTCGATTATGAGCTAAACTGATGTTCTGCATATAAACACGCGTGTTGGCGCGAGAATTATGTCATTGTTGTTTTTATTCATGAATCAACGAGAGCAGAGCTAGATTTTACAGGCATTGACTCTAATTGAGCATAATTTCTATGACATTGAGTTCATGATATAGAATATTAGAGAAACTTAAATGTTTTACGTTCGCCTTTTGTCGATATAAATATAAATGAGTTTTTGCGTGTTTTTCCTCAATGTGTTCCTAGTTTTTTGGCTATATCAGCTAGTGCTAACCTAGAACAATAACTATGATCAAACACCCTTAATTTATTTATTTAAACATACGTTTCTAAGGAAATATACTTGCTGTTTCTTACATAAAAGGAATTTGAAAAAATTTAAAAAAATAAAAGCTCTTTAAAATGATATTCCAATTTGATGTTAACGTTCATTAATTAATCATTAATCACGTTATGGTTTGTAGTGAAATAAAGTATTAATAATAAATAATAATAACTAGTTGCCGCTATCCTTACAATAATTATAATCAATGTGTAATATGTACAGATCTACTCAAGTGCATTCGAGCGTATTGTTTATCTTCGATTAGCAGTCTGAAAAGAAACCCCTAATAGGTGTGACCAGAAAAACAAGATGATAAGAAATATTACCCACGTTGAGCTGATAAAAAGCTATTTGCAGAAGTGTTATCATATTTGATTATCATTCGCCCCGAGTATTGCGTATTTATGTTTGGTAAACACAGTTAAATTAACCTAAGCATGTCTGAAAAAGAACAGTCATCAAGTAGTGTTCGACACTTATTTCAATTCGGGGCATACCAGACAAAATAAAACGTGAAGAAATAATCGATATTTCTCATACCGTTTTTACTTTTTCAAAAACTTTTATCTCACTCTCGAAATAAATAATAATATAATAGTCATTCTTAGCACACAAACGAGACGCTTTAAAAAAATCGAAAGAAAATATTAAGGTTTTTTTCCCTACCTATTGCTAGTAACCTCGACGGGTTATGCTAACTTCACCGAGCATTGACGTGAGCTTACGGGGCTCAGCCTGGGATCTTTTTTTACTTACTTTATAATGCGTATGCTTATGACTTTATAATGCGTATAAAGCGGCACCAAACGGGTACTATCTTTTTTGCCTATTTTTTTCCTATCTATTCGCTGGTAGCCTAACGGGCTATTCCAGATACGCGCGGACGGGTAGATGAGCTTACAGACTCAACCTGAGAAAATTTCTTCTCCTAGACCGAACAAGTGCAGTGTTTCGCAGAATCTATTACCGGATCGGAATCGCGACCCCCTGAGAATATCGGGGGAGAATCTCAGTGTGCTGTATTTATGGGTTAGTTCGCTCACCGAACTCTTCATCGTAATCGACGGAGTTCGACGAGGACGGTGATCGGTGCTTGAAGATCCTAAAAGCACCGAGCTGATCTGATAAGACATGTTTCGAGCGACGACGGCTTTGCGTTTCCAAGACGCCTGGGTCGGCTTTTTTTTTCCTACCTAAGCTGATGGTCTAGAGACCATGTCAGCGTCACCGGGCTAGTAGGTGAGCTCGCGGGGCTCAAACCTGACGATGTTGCTAACATGAACCCTGGCAAGAGCCGTGCTTCACAAAATCTACCACCGGCTTAGAAACGCGACCCACTGAGAAAATTCGGCGAGAAACTGAGTAGGTCGGCTAAGTAATTAGCGATGGCCACGATAAGAGGGTTATCGTGTCGTGTCGGTTTGTCGAAGTAGCATTCTGACACTGCATTAACATCATATGTATCGGTTCTAAATTTAGGTAAGTATATTAATGAAAACATTTCTTATTTAATAATAACTCTTAATGCCTTTTTAATCCTTACTGAACACATGACCCCAATAACGTTAAAAGAATAATGCATGAGAACAACTACACTTGCGGTAATCCTTCTTTGTTTATCCGATAGATCGAAAAGTTGTTAGCACATAATATATGGGCGGAAGTAAGAATTACAGTAATTCCTGAAAGTGTTAAATGAGATTTTACTGGACACTTTGAACTCACGTAATTAAATATAGGTAATAGGTACGGAGTGTGACAAGTTTCAATTTGAAATATCAAAACTCCATTACTATTGTAGTTAGCGAATATTCACCTATAGTTCCAAAAAATTTAATAAAACATAACATAAAATGCGTCGATTCTTAGTCGAATATTGAAAGATTAAATCAAAATCTTCAACGCTTCAATCAGCTCGCAAAAACATCATTATCTGGATGTCTGTTAATAAAAATAAATATCTATGTAATTAGATAAATATTTTATGATAATGTGAACAGATCAGATAACAAATGTTTACTATGATTACAATTCATTTGTGGGGATTTAAGAGAAACATATAACTTGTTTCTTTCAGGAATTGTTGTATCTTCAATCAAGGTTCATTTAAAGATCACGAGTTCCATTAACTAGGTAGATTGCATACATTCCTTTATTTTCTTTTTTTTACCTTATGATTCCACCTTATTTATTTCTATATGGTATTTATTGTAAATTTTTATTTTGAGTAAAATAACCTTTAAAACCTCTGAAAATATTCATTAAGTTTTGATGAATGTAACACTGATTTGATGAATGTAACACAACTGTAAAACATTTTTTTAAATTATTTAAAGGATTATAGGAATTTGGAGACTTAGTTGTGTCTGAAAAATTTGTCAATATTTGCATAAGGTTTAAAATCACTTATTCTATGTTATTATTAACTTAACAGCATAAATGCACGAGGAAAGGTCAGTGTATATTCTTATCCTAATTAGACTGAATTATGATTATTAACTTATTTATCTGTGTACTCAGTTAATTGACCTAGTTCCATGTGGCAATCCACTTATGGCACAGCAGTCTTTTGTTTTGACGAGTGGGACCACAGTTACATAATATAATTTAGCCATCAAACTCAAGTTAGGTGAAGAGATAACAGTATTCATACTGTTTTGTCTCTTGCTGACACCAGATGGTCCATGAGCTCACTCATACATCTAAGAGGTTAAAGATATTCAATTTACCTCTAAATTGTTCCTCCCATTCCCTCACTGATTCCATTTCCATAGAGTTGAGATCACTCAAGTCATCATAGTCCTTTTCAGGTGCTGTGACAGAGAACGTGGCAAGTCCTCTTGTGGCATCTCTTCCTCCAAAAACAGCATATGGCCCACCTTAAAAAATAACAAGAAATTAGTTACTGTACTTAAAAAATACAAACAATATTTTTTTCAATGAATACAATAATCTATTTTTCATGTTAAAAAATTGTTAATCCACAAAAGAAAAAAAGAATTAAATTAATAAAGAATTTATATTTTACGAATTTATGAATTTTTTCATTATGTGGAAGGCATTGGGGAAGGCCTATGTCCAGCAGTGGGCAGATAAAGGCTGATGATGATGATGAATTTATATCCATTATAATTAGGGTGACCCTGGCGTTCTGTAACTAGAACCCATTCTCAGCTTTAAATGTAGGGAGTAATTCCTTAAATCCTACTTAATTTCTTATAAGCTACCCCTGAATCCCTATATTGTCTGCTGATAGTAGGCAATATTCTAGCCCTCTCTATACCTACTCAAATCATCACTATTAGTTGTGAAGCCAGTTGGTTTCCTGATATAGATCAAAAGATATAGCTAAGGCTTTACTGGAGAAGAAATGAAACAATATTGCATCAAATACATACAAGATGTAGGCTTGAATCTAGTGAAGAAGAAACTATATTGGCTATATAAAAGCTAAGATAGGGAAGCAACTCAAATAATTTAATGACAAACATGAACTCCCAGAGGTTTTGTTATCAGTTATTTTAAAAGTCTTCCATGAATATGTCACACTGATGTTCCCATGGATCATATTTTATTCAGGTTTTTTAATTCAATATCCCAATTGCCCCCAAAACTCCCAGTTTGCAAAAAATCCACAATGTTATTATTCTGCTACATCAAATTCAATTTGATATTCCAACTCAAGTCTGATAAATACAAATGATGTACTTTCAGCTCTAATTAATTAGTTATAATAATACAATTACCTAATAAAACAGACACTTGAACTGATACCGATAATTAAATCAAATGCATAGTCATCCGATATTCAACTCACGAAAAGTTGTCCACTTTTGTATATTAATGTGTGACTGCATTAGTTTAGAGAATGCACTTTGAATAATTGAATGACTAACTAATGTCACCGCTATTTATAAATCTCGTCATCAGCACACATTTGTTCACTCACCGGGACCGTAGAACCGATTCCCTCTAGTCACATCGAATATCCACCCATTCACAGCCATCAACACTCTGCCACCCTCCTGTGTCCCGTCGTACTGCCGTAGTTCTACTGCGGTCATATCTTTTCGCAATTTAGGTAGTTTTTTCAAGGGAGCAACCTTTGAACAATGTGTCTTATACTTGTAGTAAAATTTATACAGTATCACAAATGTACTCACAAAAACAAAATAAATAAACGGTTGACAAAACAGTGTTTTTAAGGTCTCAAAAAAGCCACTGTGTTTGGCTTGCACATTTTCAACCTCTGGTGGTGAATCCATTTTATTCTAGGTAGAAAAACGTCTGTGCCGGCACATTAAGTTTTTGTTTTTGTTCTATTCTAAATTTATAGAAAACGTTGGTTACAGACTGACGGTAATGCAATGAAATTGACGCGCAAGTGACGTCAGCGAAAAAATTGTTTGGGGCTACCATATTAAAAAAAATATATTTGGTGGTATAGTTTCAACGAATGATTCTCAAAAGAGCTAACGCGGGATCAACTTTAAAACTTTGAGAACAAATGGCCAAACAAAACACATTAGCCGTTTTTCATTCAGCATATATTTCATAATTATTCTAAATATGTTCTCATCTTTTCATCACAGATCACAACATATTTGGCAAATGCCTGAATTTCGTTAACAACATTTTCAAAATAAGGTTGGTTATAAAAAAGTTCTGAACAAAACAACACACGTCATTTCGGAATTTCGTATTCTTCCGATTTACTTTCAGTGCTTTTGGGAATTTGAAGCACCAGCCACCGTTCTCATGGAACCCTTTGAATGCAACGAAGGATTCGTCTTGAAAATTAACCCACTGACTCAGTACACTGAGTTTCTCGCTGGATCTTGTAATTGGGTCGATTCCGATCCAGTCGTAGATTTAGCGAAGCACTGTTCTTGTTAAGGCTGATGTTAGCAGTCTCACAGGCTGAGTCGCGTGAGCTCTCCTCAGCACGTTCGGTCAAGCTAGCCTAACCCGTCGAAGTTTTACTAGTAATTTTGCCTACCTATTATAGTCAAATCATTGGAATTCTACGTCTACCGAGAAATTTCACTCCCTCGCTGGAAAATCTTTTTTTTTTGTCTTAGATGGGTGGACAAGCTCACAGCCCACCTGGTGTTAAGTGGTTACTGGAGCCCATAAACATCTACAACGTAAACGCGCCACCCACCTTGAGATATAAGTTCTAAGATCTCGAGTATGATTACAATGGCTGCCCCGCCCTTCAAACCGAAACGTATTACTGCTTCACGGCAGAAATAGGCAGGGTGGTAGTACATTACCCGCGCGTACTCACAAGATGTCCTGCCACCAGTAATTACGCAAATTCTAATTTTGCGGGTTTGATTTTTATTACACGATGTTATTCTTTCACCGTGGAAACCAATCGGGAACATTTGTTAGGAGGTACGTATTTCATTAGAAAAATTGGTACCCGCCAATGCGGGATTTGAACACCGGTGCAGCGGTGCATCGCTCATGCACGAATGCACCGGACGTCTTATCCTTTAGGCCACGACGACTTCGACTTTCTTTGTCATTACTTCCGCATAAAGGATTATTAATTTTATTTTATATTAATTTATTTTATTTATATTTTATTTAATTATTATATTAATAAATTTTGTACTTAAATTCAACGCCCTTTCAAAAGCTACATCGTCTGTTTGATTTTTTAGGAGCTGACCTTTTAGGAGCGCGCTTTGGTGGCTGCCGAATTATAGCTACAGCTACAATGTTGCTGCAATTCACCAGCCTATTCGCAAGTAAACTTTAGCTTTTGAAACGAATCTTTCATCACTATCATCATCACGTCAACTTTTCATTTTGCTTTCAGAATTTTTTATAAAAATAGAATACTCAGTACGTGAATGTCCGAGTGCTTTTTTTTGCCTACCTAAGCTGATAGCCTTGAGGCTATTTCAGCGGAACCTTAATTAGTAGGTGAGCTCACGGGGCTCAAACCTGACGACGTTGCTAACACGAACCCTAGCAAGAGCCGTGCTTCGCCGAATCTCCTACCGGATCGGAAACGCAACCCACTGAGAAGATCCAGCGAGAAGCTCAGTGGGCTGTGTCTAAGGGTTAATTTACTCGTCGAGCCCTTCGTCGCAAGAAGAGAACGATGACCGGTGCTTGAGGTACCTAGAAGCACCGTTAGTGGATCGGGAGGATCTGAAATGACGTGTTTGGGGCGACGTCGACTGCTTTCCATTCTGTCCGCAGGATCGGGAATGTAGTTACCGGCGGCCACGATGAGAGGGTTCTCGTATCGTGCCGCTTTATCGAAGTGGCGCATCGACGCCGACTGCAGATACTTACTGATGGACTCTAAGTCCAGGTCGTCATGGAGGTCGACGTTCCTGACGAACCACGGAGCTCCGATGGCTATCCTGCAAAAACGGGATTGAATGACTTGGAATGATTTTAAGTTAGTGCGGGCCGCGTGAGCAAACACTACACTTGCATAGGTCATGACGGGGCATATGCAAGTTTTGTAGTGTCACCTTATTTCTAAGGGACATTTCACTTCGCCTGCATATCATCGGGTAGAGGCGTCCTAGTATGAAGGCGGCGGTCGCGTACCGTCTTTATGTGGGGGCGGAATGTCATTCCTCTGTCGAAGGTGACGCCTAGGTATTTGACCTTCGGGGCCCACAGTATGGGTTGGTCGTACATCGTGATTGGGCGAATGGCGGAAGCGGAGATGTTGACGTGCCTAGTCGGGAGTGGGATGCTCAATGTGGTGTTCGGAGGGCGACCCCTTTTGAAGAGCACCGCTGTTCTTTTCGTGAGGTTGATGTCGATGCGCCACTTCCGGAACCACTGTCCCATGGTGGTAGCTGCGGTCTGGAGTCGCCGATGTAACAACGACTTCTTCCTACTCGAGTAGTAGATAGCTGTGTTATCGGCGAAGAGCGCCAGATGGGTCTCCGGAGACCGGGGTATATCGTTGATATACAAACTGAACAGTAACGGAGAGAGGGCGGAGCCTTGCAGGACTCCGGCTGTAACGTGACGGGGGCGAGAGCGCGTTTCGTCGACTCGATATCGGAACGAACGGCTCGACAAGTAGTCTCGTATGATAAGCACGAGTCTGTCTGGCACTCCCATGTTATACAGTTTATATATCAAACCGTTGTGCCAGACTTTGTCGAACGCCTTCGTTATGTCGAAGAAGAGGGCTCCTGTCGGGATGGGTTTCCGCCTATTCAGCCCTCATAAGATGTGTTCCGTGAGGCAGTGCACTTGATGGACGCACGAGTGCTTGGCGCGGAACCCGAACTGCTCGTCGATCAATATTTTATTGGACGCGACGAAGTCCCAGAGGCGCTTACGAAGGAGTCGTTCGTATAGCTTGCGTCCGAGTGCATTTCTTATTCTGAGACATGTCATTGTGATGTGTTAGGTAGAATAAAAACAATTTAATTAATAAAGTATTTTACTTTACATATTTATTTATTTATTTAATCAACAATGTTTCAACAGCATTTAACTAGACACAGGGTACAGAGGATGTTTTCACAAACATGAGCCAATTAAAGAAACACATTATGTTTCCAAAAAATGTTAACATGATTAATGAACACAGATCATGGTAATAAATAATTGGTCTGGTATTTGCAGATATTTAAACAAATGCGACTTTTTGGTAGGAACGCGAGTAGCGAAGTTCTGTTAATTTTTTTATTTTGTCTCTTTAGTGTATCTCATTCATCCATCTTGTTTCATTTAATTTCATGCCAATTCATCATCATCATTCATTCATCAAATCAATCAACATCATTTCATTTTACTTCATTATTAAAAAAAAATATGTATAAGAGATTAGGTTGTACGGTACGATATTTTTGCCTATCCAGTTGGAAAAAAACTACTACTACTTAAGCCAATGCCATGATCAGTTGTCACTGTCGCAACTCGCCCGCAACCATATCAACTAATCTGTCATTTATGTAGGTAGGTACGGTAGTAAAGTAGACCGGTAATCAAAATAATGATAACAATAAAACGATCGCAGAGCTAACTTTATGATCAGTAAATTTTCTTTAAAGCAATATTCGTGTCACAAATTTATCCATTTTATTTTGACACTCTTCTATCTATCAAACTAAAATACTATTTTTATATTTGAGTAAAAATTGCTTCGTGTCCTCGAGGTATGTAGTTTTATCAAAAATAAAGGAGTTCTAAATAAACCAACGTTTATAGTTCTCGTCATCGTTTCTCTAGAACTGTACTTACTTTAAAGTAGCAACAATATTTTTAATACAATTAAGGTTTCTGATCCTGACACATAATGAAGTCTCAGCAATCGGAATTATGTTCTCTCTATACCAAGATATTCGTAGTGGTTTCTTGTTACTGGTGAGTGTAGTTTATTTTCCTATTATTTACCTATTTTCGTAATGAAATACATACTTAACAAATGTTCATGATTGACTTCCACAGTGAAGGAAAAACGTTGTGTAATAAAAATCAAACCCGCAAATTATAATTTGCGTGATTACTGGTGGCAGGACATCTTGTGAGTCCGCGCGGGTAAGGTACTACCACCCTGTCTATTTCTGCCGTGAAGCAGTAATGCGTTTCGGTTTGTAGGGTGGGGCAGCCGTTGTAACTATAATGAGACCTTAGAACCTCATACCTAAACGTGGGTGGCGGCGTTTACGTTGGAGACGCCTATGGGCTTCGGTAACCACTTAACACCAGGTGGGTCGTGAGCTCGTCCATCCATCTAAGCAATTAAAAAAATAATTTTTTTTTTCAGAGTAACAATTTATTTTTTCTGATATATAATGCTTTTCTACTAGTGGGGCTTTATGGTATTTACTCTTTTGTGGCTGTTTGGGCAGCAGCTTGGCAGATGAGCATATGGCCCAGCTAATGTTGAGTGGTTACAGATGTCAATTATGATGGGTACAGCCAAGTTGATGCCTACTGCTAAGTACTCTCTGTAAACCTCAGTTGAAAGACAGGACATAGTATTACAGTATGAGCGGGCAAGGATAATGTTTATTTGTATTTATTATTGTTACTACTAATTAAACATTGTGTAGTGTCTAAAATTTTACTTAAAGTTAATATTCAATTGTAACATGTAAGCTCTGAATGATACCAAATTTTGAAAGGATGTTATTCATCAAATTAACCTAATTAATTTCAGGGTGGTGTCAATAGTGACAGTATTTGTTAATAAGACACTATTCAGCAGTCAAACAGTGGCTCTTGAGGCGCCTCTATTCATAACTTGGTTCCAGTGTATAATTTCATTCTCAATTTGTTTTACATTGAGTCAAAATGGTGGAGTTCCTGGTATATTTTCCTTTCCAAAAGGAACACCTTGGAGTATGGACGTCATGAAAAAGGTATCTATCCCTGATGAGTAGTTTTTCCAAAAAAATATGGTTTTACACAGATTTTTCTGTAATTTTTGTCTTAATGAGGTTCTAGTCTTGATTACATATATAGGTCTAGAAAATACATTTAAGAAACATTCTTTTAGATACTAACACTCTCCTAACATATTTAAACATCTTTGTTCAAAAACAAAGATTGTTTGAGATTACAAAGTAATAAGAATAAGACACACTATATTTTAAAATCGAAGTGTGCTATTTATATGTTTATAGCTTTATTTGTATATTTTTATAGCAAAGCTGTGACAAAAAACATTTGCTTTGGTCATATGGATCAAAATTTTTGTCCATTTTAGAAGAGGAGTGTCCCCCTTAGCTGGTCTCCTAATGATGAAAGATAAAAAAAAAAGTATTTTATTAAGTTTTAGACTACGTCCATAGTTTTAAAATTATTTACAGATGATTTTCAGTCTATTATATTTACTAAAGAATATTTAATTTTAAATACTAATGACTGCTGGAGGAGACTGCTTCCTGAGTAGAGTCAGTGCTTTGCACGCATACAACATTCAATACTCGCACTGTATGAGCTACTATATGAGCGCACTGCAAATATAATATGGAATGCAATGGTTAGATGGTGTGCTTAGTTTTGTGGACGAGCTCACAGCCCACCTGGTGTTAAGTGGTTACTGGAGCCCATAGACATTTACAACGTAAATGCGCTACCCACCTTGAAGTCGAAATGCATTAATGTTTCACGACAGTAATAGGCAGGGTGGTGGTACCTACCCATGCGAACTCACATGAGGTCCTACCACCAGTACAAAAGGGTTGCGAAGGGTGCCTAATAAGTCATGGATGAGGACCGCTGAAGACCAGGTTTTGTGGTGTAAATTAGGAGCGGACTACGTCCAGCAGTGGACAACTATGAGCTGATGATAATTTAATTTAAGGATAGTATGATAAGATCAGTTGCGAAATTTGCTGTAAAATGTTTATTTATACTAGCACTTGTTAATTTTCAGGTGATTCCACTGGCAATAATGTATACTTTGATGATAGCCACAAATAATTTGTGTTTGAAGCATGTAGGAGTACCGTTCTATTATGTAGGAAGATCTCTGACCACAGTCTTCAATGTTGTATTTAGCTGGATATTATTAAGACAGGCAACATCGTCCAGATGTATTTTGTGCTGCGCCTTCATTATATTCGGATTCTATCTTGGAGTTGATCAAGAAAACTTATTAGGTAATATTACAAATAAATTAACATTGCTTAAAGAAAGTCAAGTCACCACTCGTGGAATTAAAACCACTTTAAATATTTAATCACGCCTTTTTTGTTGTTATTATATTATATACTACGTTAAATATTATAATAAATTATTTTACGGAAACAATTACAAAATAAAGTAGATAAAATGATCGTAAAAAGTAACTCTTAAAATTTTCAACTTTCCAGGGTCATTTTCCCTTATAGGAACAATCTATGGAGTGGTTGGTTCCCTCATGCTATCCTTGTACTCTATATTCACAAAGAAGGTTTTACCATATGTTAACCAAGAAGTATTGTTATTGTCGTACTACAATAATGCATACTCCATAATACTTTTCATACCGCTAATGTTAATCAACGGAGAAATGACAGTTTTGATGAACTACACTAATTTCCAAAGCACCTACTTCTGGTTTCAAATGGTAATAGGTGGTCTATGCGGTTTTGCAATAGGATACTGTACTTCTCTACAGATAAAGGTAAGTACTGAATTGTAATTAATATGAAGGGCAGAAGTAAGGAGCGCCATCTCAGTGTATTAAAAAGTGTCCATTGAAAGAGAGCCAATCAAGGTGGCGCCATAGTAGCAAGAGAAAATATTTTTAAAACAGCGCTATAAACTATTAAGAGTAGGATACTAAATTAAGAAGGAAAGAAACACTTTCTACATAAATAGTATTAGAAATAAATAGTTGATATTTATAATATTACATATTTTTTAACTACCCAAGTCACTAAAAATACTCATTATTTCAACCCAGCACGCTTAATTGTGTTTGAAACTGCTATATTCATATCATTTCCATTTCCTAAGCTAGTGCTATTTTGGTAAGACTTGCAGCAATAAACTTGCTGTTTAAAGGTGGACACTTTTTCAACTAATCCCCTATAAAAGATGATGCTCATTACTTCTACGCTCCATCATCATTCTCCAGCCCGTCTCCCAGTCACCTGGGGTCGGTGCAACACGTTTTCTCCTTCCATACTGCTCTGTCATATACCATTGTGGCTTGTACAAAACACCTGATCGTTGTTTATGACTCGAGTGGCATCCAGTGGCACTGTGTAAACGTAAACACCCCACCCTCATAGCGCGGGTTTTTTGAAAGTATTAAAGTTAATTAAATTTTATAAAAAAAATGAGTATTATTACTATAACTATCACAAAAGTAAACTTTATACCAAAAAAAGGTATTTTATTTTCGTTTTTATGAATAATTAACCGGAAAAACCTAGTATAAACGTTAGGACAAAGAACGAATTTTTTTTGTAGAACTGTGTTATATGTGTAGACGTAAATACTCATATTTGCAATATTTTGATTCTGTGCCTTTTATTTTAACTAAGTCTAACATTTACCTCTCTTTAATTACATACTACAGACATACTTAGGGTATTTTACAACACCGATAAATAAATAGCATCATTAGCGATGGGGTTGGTATCATCGTGTTAAAGGTATCCACGAATAAACAACTTTTGGATAACTTTCTATCTTGTCGGCCGAAGATAGTCTGTTTGCAATTATAATGCGCTTCGTACGATTAGATATTCGGAGATTAGATTAGATATTCAAATGATATATAACATTCGTGATATTGAATTAAACAGTGGTATTATCTTAGGCGTTCGGGGGTCGTAGATAATAATAACTATTTTTACGGTTTAATCATGCGTGTATATTTTCCAATATTTCCGGTGTTTTTTTTCTTTTCTTATCAACAACTAATTTTGTATGTCGGTATGGTATGCTTGGTATTTCGTCAATATTTGAATATTTTTCTAATCACCGTCCAGTTATATAAAGAAAATATTTACTAACATTTTAGGTTTATTTACACATGCAAAGAGCTAGTAGTGATTCGGGCTCGACAGGATTTTCATCATCACGAAAATAGGATCCCAGTTGTTATACATATAAGCTCCAACGATTTATCTTGTATACATTATTAATACACGATTCTCTCCCCAGAAGTTCTTTGATGAATGTGTGAATATGGTTTACACACACGCACACGCACACACATCTACATTTGTGTATATCGACAGAAGAAAGCGAAATTGCCGTAACTTAAAAAACACTACTTTAAGAGCCTTATTTATCTATATATGAATTGCTGTTCGTTAGTTTCGTTAAAACACGAGAACGGCTGGACCGATTTAGCTAATTTTAGTCTTGAATTATTTGTGGCAGTCCAGGAAAGGCTTAAAAGGTAGATAAATATGAAAATGCTCGGAAATAAATAAAAATAACAATTTTGTTTTTCCTTTGATGTGTCCCCCGTCGGACGGATTCCTTTTGTTTGTTTTAAGTTTGTTTTATACAAAATCTTAGGACTTTTATTTATCGGTTGAGGAACTACGAAGTCTGCCGGGTCAGCTAGTATATAATATAATATGGTACAAAGAGATTTAGCCCAAAATGCAAGTTACGACATTTCCGCTTTTTTTTCCCCCATCGATATGTATAATAACTATAACATAATATATGATAAGTATCACGAATCAGGTTTTAATTTTCTGTTGTCTCATTGTTAGGTGACATCACCCCTGACACACAATATATCTGGCACAGCAAAGGCTTGTGCGCAAACGGTGATCGCGACGCAGTGGTACAACGAAAGTAAAAATGCGCTTTGGTGGACGTCCAATTTAATAGTACTAGCCAGTTCAGCTTTATACGCAAGATTCAAGCAGTTGGAGATGGAAGTTAAATCAAAGACGCCAGTGCCTGAAGAAAAACAGAGCTTAGTATAAATTTATTTAGGTATATCCTTTTTTTTGTGTCCTAATACATTCCGTTATTAGTTAAATGTTGAGAAATTTTATTTACAAAGTGGTTATCGTTATAGTTACACCGTCAATGTGTCGTTCTACGCGTGACAAATTGAGTCTGACACTATCGTCCGACAACGACTAAGAATCATCAATTTTTCAAAATTTTATTTAGTTAATATGTATATGTTATTCTTAAACACTATACAACCAAGAAGTCTCCCTGAAAAATAAGTTAGAAATAGTGTAGAGGAATGAGAATTTTTTTTAAAAAATCCGTCTCAATATCTACCTAGATGTGTACACTTACTTACACTTAGTCTTGTGCTATGAAGCCTTATAGGAATAGATAGATAGGCTTATAGAAATATATATAAATTATATATAGAAAGTAAGTGGGTAGGGTAGGTTCTTATTTGCTTCTATATTTTTTATACCTGTTTTTTTTTTATCTGACTGACGCGATGTCACAGGTCGCAATCCAATAGCATCCGAAACATATACATACTGAAAATATGTCTGATTTTTGTCAGATAGCTAAATATTAGTGTAGCTGTCTCAATGCCAGATTGTTTCTTTCAGACGAGAGAATATTTAGTGTATTAAGTATATTGTCTATAATATTAAGCATATTATCTATACACGAGAGCATAATGTGTCTATAGCAGTGATTCTGAACCTTTTTTTTGTTGCGGCACATATTTAACGATTTGAAAATTTGGCGGCACACAAAGAAAAAGATAAAAGTTATTTACTTACTATTGAATCACATACATTTGCCAATTTTAACGAAAGAAAAGGTGCAGTAACTACTATGCAACACCTTGTGAATCCCAACTATCACTAAAACAACACGTTTTGTACGCAGAAATGGCAAGTGTGCGCCGACTTGAGACATATTCCTATTGCTATGCACGCCGCTTCATCATAATTTGGCACTAAGAAAAACCGCGTTGCAAAGCAAATAATAAAATAATTTATTTTTTTGTGGATTTAAATATATATTCATGTTAAAAATATTTTTCTTTTTAAATGATATAATTTAATAATATTAACATTATTACTTATTTGCAAAATTTGGCGGCACACTTTTGAAATTTGGCGGTACACAAAAGTGTCGCGGCACAGTGGTTGAGAATCACTGGTCTATAGATTTGTTTCTTCAAACCTGCTTAAAAACAGTGAAATGAATACACAGACCAAAGAGAATTTATTAGATGTTCGATGAAATTATTTTCATTTAAAAATACGGTTCCTTATTCGATTTAGCCTGAATCTTTTGAATTTTAATAATAATTATATTCTTTAAGTTAGGTAATTTGAATATTATGTAATGTTTTTTATGTGTGACCATTTCAGAATTTAAATACTAGAATGTTGTCCAGAAAATATCTACATTTTTAATTGAACAGAAATTGGGTAATTACCTTTTAAAAAAAGAGTATTTATCTAGTCATCTGGTTAAATATATACATAATGGTATAATATTTATGAAAAAACTGTTTTAGCGATTGTTTGTATTATTGAGAGGATAATATTTTTTCTGTTCGCTTCAGTCGATACTAGGTATCAGATTTTTACTAGGGAAAATTTGTTAATGAGCGTTTTTATATTAATCGGGATTATTTAAAATATATGTATTAGCAACTTAAAAAGTATTATTCATATAATATAATTTAAACAATGACATCAACACTAGATCTTAATCGTATAGATAAGACCTTTGCAATATTTTTGTATTTTGAGACCAAAAATAAGTTTTTAGATTCGATTGGATCAATAATGTGATCGTACAGTTCTATGCCATAATTATTGTTCCAATTTTTTGTAAAGAGCGTGTTATTAAACGATATCCATTCTGTGTATCTGTATCTTTTCGTTCTGATGCTGTAACCCATAATAGTGATGTCCTTCAAACGTGGTTTGTCCGAATTTTTCTGCGGATACACACTCGGTCGCGGGTACTGACTTATTGCAAAAGTTTCAAGTCCATTAATATTATTTTCAATGAAAGGAACTAAACTTTTTCCTTCGAAACAAAGCTGTGACGTGTCTTTATGGTTCAGACATTTGGGTATTTCGTCAGATAATTTGGTAAGATCAACCAGGGTCGGGAAAATGTCTATTAATTCGACCGGTTCATGGACAACAGTTGGAATCAGCTTGGGATATTTGAATATTAATGGAACTTTAAGAGCGTAATCGAAGTTACTGTATTTTGCCCAAAGTCCGTTTTCGCCGAGTGACCAACCTGTAATACGAAAAATAGTTCTTGTATGAACATAACTTTAATTTTTGAGGATTCTAGTGTGGCGAAACCTTTGGTTCCGTCACGCGCATGCGCGGCTAAAAAATTTAGGGAGGTCATGATTACCGCCATAAGAGAACAGATTGTACATTTTTACATAAAAATAAATATTTTATTTTTTATTTATAGCCGCTTTTGTTTAAGCGTCCTAAAATGGTGACCCCCGATATGAAAATAATTATATTTGTGTTTCATTCTACTAAAAGGTATAACTAAAGGGTTTTTACAGGGCTGTAAAATGTGATGTTAGTCATTTCTGTTCAAAATATCTATAAAAGCTATAGTATTCGGAAATTTTAATCATGCTTAAAGCTAATTGTCGGCGTAAAATTAACGCAGGTCACAAAATACTCGACAATAACAGTGTTACTTAACCTGAAATAAATGGTAATTATCTTGCTGATGCGAAAACAAAACGTCGTAATGATTAGGATGAAAATTCCAAAAACAATTGCCTAGCAACTTTTTTTTTATTTTGGTACCCCTAAAGTTTGCGTAAATTATCTAGGTTATAATTCTAATATTAACAATATTGAGCAATTCGATTTTTGGTCTATGTTTCCTTGAGGTCACATAGCGGTTTTCTTTAGTCTGTGTCGAGTCGTCGTACAATAAACGGGTTTGCAAACTTGTCGTGTCTTTGTCATTATCACCTTGCTTAATACACACGCTTTATATATAAGCACGGACTCGATAAGGTAATTAAGTTATAAAAATAAAAGATAAATTTAATATAAATGCAGGCAATGTAAACCTCCAAGGCATAAAAATGGCGTCGTGCTTACCATGATCACTTGTCAGTACAATTATAGTTTTCTGCATGTCCACATAGCTTAACAGGGTCCCAATCAATTCGTCAATGTACATAGCCGCCGCGTAGTAACTCTGCCGTATCTTCAACGTCCATTTAGTGGGCATCACGCCGAAAGGAAATGTGATGTTTAAGCGGCGAATGTCATCGCGTTTCCGTACGTCCGTCCACGGGTGCCAAGACACCAAAGGCATGTCCTTGGGAATGTTCGGTTCTTTAGGTCTATGCACTTTGCTAATTGGCATTTGTTCTGAAATCATATTAACAAAATTATAGGTTTATTAATAAACTAGCGGCCCGCCCTCGTTTCGCTACGGGAACTGTGATTTCTTATTGGTCTTTTGAATTTTCTTTTACACAAATCTACCACTACCCTATCAACTTCTGCTCCAACCAACCATTCATGAATTCCCGTATTAAGGGTAGTATAGCGCAATTATATATATTTGAAGCGTCCTTAACTTGTCTTATGGTGAGTGGCGGGATTCAGTTTCGTGAACTGACACTTACAATTCTACACGTCATTTCGGATCCTCCCGATCCACTAACGGTGCTTTTAGGTACCTCAAGCACCGGTAACCGTTCTCGTCGAAACCGTCGCTTGCGACGAAGGGCTCGACGAGTTAATTAACCCTCAGACACGGCCCACTTAGTTTCTCACCGGATCTTCTCAGTGGGTCACGTTTCCGATCCGGTGGTAGATTCTGCGAAGCACGGCTCTTGCTAGGGTTCGTGTTAGCAACGTCGTCAGGTTTGAGCCCCGTGAGCTCACCTACTAGTTAAGGTTCCGCTGAAATAGCCTCTCAAGGCTATCAGCTTAGGTAGGAAAAAAAAAACACTTCTAATACAAAAATGCAATAGTAAGCATAAATAAAATAATTCAACGAGAAGGAGAACTACTAACTTAAATATTCCTTTGGAAACTTCAATGGTATATGCGGCTTGTGAAATCCGATTGCTAAGAAAAACGGCTTACTCCCGTTTCTCTTTTTCAGGAAATCAATAGCGTAATCCAACGACTGCAAGTCTGGTAGAGATTGTCCTGGTTGTCTTTTAACAGAAACTGGACAAATTAGATTTCTCTCTAGTTTTTTCGTTTTTTTATTTCGACACACTTTAGCGTCTTTGTACATTTCTGTCGGGGGATGATACGGATACTCCGACCAGCTGTACGGGTAATCGTCTGTGAAGTTCGAACTTTTTCCAGGATGGAACACTTTTCCCACGGAGTAAGTATCGTATCCATGCTCTTTGAAGAACTGTGGTATGGTTGTGAAATTCCCTTGTCCGTTACTGCGATCGCGCCAGTAGCTGTAGAAGTCGTACAAGCGAAGCGAGTCGGGCCTACGACCTGTTAGAAGGGAATTACGACTGGGCGCACATAAGGCTTGCTGTAAATACGGAAAATGATAGGTATAGAAGACAATTTATGTGACAACAATATTGTCTGAGAACGCTGTCAGAGAATGCCTATGGCATTAATTCCGCCTTTATACTGTCTAGTATATAAAGTTATAAATATATAAAATATTATGGTGACCAAAATAAGTGTTTTTTTTTGTACTTTCTTTAGTTTTCGGTAGACATAATTAAGACAACTTTTACTGTTTAATCTCGCGTTTTTGTCGTCCGTGACTACGAAAATGTAAAATATTCGAACAGTTAAATAAATGTCTGTGGCCAAGAAAACTGTAAAATAATCGAAACGTTGGAAATGATAAAAGGACAGCAATAAAAACGCAAAATTAAACCGTAAATTTTACGTTCTAATCAAATGGTATATTATTATTTTATATAGGTATTATAACGTGTAGGTACATTTCATTAACTAAAACGTTTTTTCCTCAAAACAAATAGTAGTAGGAACAGTAATCTAGTATTTTAATTTATTTTAATAATCCATTTATTCTTAATTGAAATGAAACGAAATAAAATAAATGATATACTTACTTGAGCGAACGCATTATTAAAGGTAGCACCAGTTTTTCCTAAGAAGTTGATGTTAGGCAAATAAACTTTTTTGTCCGAGCGATGGCGCAAATCGTCAATCAAAATAAACAGGATATTTTTCGGTGTTTCTACGTCACTTGTAAGTACACGATCACCATTCAACAATATTATATTTACGACATAAATCATTGTGAGCCTCTGCATTTTAGATTCCTTTCAGGGCCATACAATCTTGCACTCTTTGGAAGTAGGAACTTATAGACGCAATTAACGATGCGCTGGAAAGCATCCACCTACTTTTGAATACTAAATAAGGTTTTCACACAGTTTTTAAATTAAATGAAATTGTATAACTGAAATGTATAACATTAAAGTTAATAAAGTATCCATTTAACTTGTAAATATTGGCGATCAACAAAACTGTTCTGCAGAAATCGAAGCTTTTTTTGTCTACCTAAGCCGATAGCGTTGAGAGACTATGTCAGCGTAACCGGGCGAGTAGGTGAGCTTACGGGGCTCAAACCTGACGTTGCTAACACGAATACTAGCGAGAGCCGTGCTTCGCAGAAGCTACCACCGGATCGGAAACACGACTCATTGAGAAGATCCGGCGAGAAACTCAGTGGGCTGTCTGTGGGTTAATTTACTCGCTGAGCCCTTCGTCGCAGGCGACGGGTTCGACGAGAACGATGACCGGATAATCGAAGCAGTGCAAACGTTGAAAAGAAAACAAAACAAAATCTTGAAGAAACTAGCAAGTGCGTATTGGATAAATATACTGAAGGGTTCCGTAATCGTTCAAGGTCAAAATTCATAGGAAATACAAATAGCCATACTTTGAGAACTAAACAACTACATATAGCTTTTTAACTATTATAGTAAATATATATAATTTTTCTTTACACTGCTGATCTTCGTCAGGATATAAGGCCAAATTTAAAAGTACTGTACTGCCATCAGCCTTTGGTACGTATGTAAATAATCATGTTAATACCATGTCTTGAAGAAGGTGGTCACTTTTAAATTACTATTAAAATGGGTATTTAGTTAGATGAATAGATACAACCAGTGTTAACTGTAACAGTTGTAACTCATTCTCTGTTTATCACCTAAAAACTAATGTAAGAATCTCCAAGTCATTTTAAGATTCTATTGATATCTTACTAAGCGTTGTCCGCACGTGAATCAAATCGTCCAAAGAAACCTATCTTATATGTTTTATCCGAATATAGGTGCGGACAGATAGCTCCAATCAATAGCTGCGACTGAAATTAATGAGATAACTACGGCCAAACAGACGAAATCGAAAGTTTCGCTTAAAAGCCATTTCAACAGATTTCTAGCAGCTGTTTATATGTTTTTTATCCTGATAAATGTAATAATCTATAATTATTATCAAGTATTTTTCCACACAGTGACAACATTTGTGTAGGTTGTTTGATTAAACAACACAACATCTGTTGATGCACGCACACAAATAAAAACTTGACACCCAATTAGTGATATGTTACCGAAACCAGTTCGATACCATCGTGGAAATTTTATAATCGATACCAAGCTTTGTTTCAAATTGTTTTTTATTGCTTCGATTGGTGGTAGAGTTTATGGCCCGTCTGGTGCGAAGTAGCTACCAGAGCCCATAAATATATAAATATCGTAAATACCGCTACCCATCCTGAGACATGAGTTCTCAAGTCTCAGTTTTTACAATACAATGGCTGCCCTACCATTCAAACCGAAACGCAGTACTCCTTTATGGCAGAAACACACAGGATGGTAGTACCTACCACAACCAGTTCCTACCGTTTCACAAGACGCCGTACCTTTTTTTTTTTTCCTACCTAAGCTGGTAGCCTGGAGCGGCTATTCCAGCGTAACCGTAACTAGTAGGTGAGCTCACGGGGCTCAAACCTGACGACGATGCTAACACAAACCCTAGCAAGAGTCGTGCTTCGCAGAATCTACCACCGGATCGGAATCGCGACCCACTGAGAAGATCCGTCGAGAAACTCAGTGGGCTGTGTCTGAGAGTTAATTTATTCGTCGAGCCCTTCGTCGCAAGCGACGGGTTCAACGAGAACAGTGACCGGTGCTTGAAGTACCTAGAAGCACTGTTAGTGGATCGGGAGGATCCGAGATGACGTGTTTTGGGCGACGTCGACTGCTTTCCATTCTGTCCGCAGGATCGGGAATGTAGTTACCGGCGGCCACGATGAGAGGGTTCTCGTGTCGTGCCGCTTTATCGAAGTGGTGCCGTACCACCAGTAATTAAGCGAGTTACACTTTTTCCGATTTTGTTTTTATTACACGTTGTTATTCCTTCATTTTGGAAGTCATTCGTAACCATTTGTTATGAACGGATTTCAATAAATAAATCATATTTATATTTCGGCATATTTGCACCGCTTGATACGAATGTACCAGATGTTTTATTCTGTAAGACACGACGACTTCGATGATGTGTAATATTTTTGTCTTCATTACATTGGTAACGAAGCTCAAAATAGCAGGGAATCTCTTTATTGTAGAAGTCATTCGTGGTGATGCATTTTATATCCATTTACTTCGAAATATTTTTACCCACACGATTAAAATGGACATAGCCACATCATTCATTACGAGCTCACCAACTGCTATACCTTTAAGCCACATCTGATTCTTAAAATCTCCGATGTTAATATTGAATTTATTCATTCTAACTCGATCGAACTCAAAGTATCGATTTCAACGAGGAATCGATTCTTCAATTATGTTAGTACCCCTATTATCACGACATTGGCGTAAAGTCTAGTATTGAGTAGTATTGACATTCGAATCATCTGTTCTCATAAATTGTTGTATATTTTGTACATAAAATTAATTTATTTGTGAATTATTTATTTAATGTGTGTATGTATGGTAATATAATTTACTCATTTTTGTGAGCGCCTGAGAAATGTCTGAAAGTTTGTTTTTTATTCGTCGTGACGTCATTGTTTTCGATTGCCAGTAAACGACGCAATTGCATTTTACATGAAAATGGATTTAAAATGAGTATTGTTTTCGTAAATAAGGTAGGTTTTAATTTGTAATGCGTAGATTGTAGTTGTTTCTTATAAGTTAAGTCGAAAGGTTTAGTTTAAGGCCATTTTGTAGGGTGGTGAACTTGCATCGATTTCCTTTGTCCTCGGTTCCCTTTACTTATATTGCTTGTACCTAGTTAGGTTTGGTATCTAATAAATTAACGCTACCCAGCTGTTTCGACATAAAGTCAACAAAACTCACTTTTTGATAAATAAGTAAAACTGTTGAATATTCATAAAGTTCTGTGCCATTGTTTTTGTTTCCAAATTATGTAATCTGTACATTTGCCAATTATTTAGTTTCAGTTATGTCTTACGATTCCATTAAGGGTTTTTTTTTATATTTTCGTAAAAGTTTCCCCATAATAGACTAACAAAAAACAATATTGATATTCTCAAAATATTTTTCTTTAAATTAAGGAAAAATGGACTTTTGTTATTTTTACCATCTGGGGTTGATCAATGATTGACCTTCTGGTTCTTTTTTTTCTGCTATTTTTAGGTATTTATTGAGAGACCTCATTGTTTGATATATACATAAATTCAGTAAAGAATGATCTGATTCAAAATAGCACTAAATTAAATATATTATTGGTGGAAATATATTAGTGGTAAATTCTATTGTTATTATTCTTGCCAGTTACCTGTGAGAGACTTAGTTTTAACTAAACTTCGGTTTTGCTTTTTGGTTCCTAGAAAAATTCACTTTCATAGTCTACATTTTAAATCATAGAATATACAGAAAAAGATTAAAAACTCTTGATGCATATTTGAAATTTTGTTTTTAGAGTAGATATTTTGTGAAATTTTTTTTTATCATTTTAATTGTGATTGTTTTGTAGAAGAGTATAGTACAAGATGTCAGCGGAGTCGCCGCGACACATACGGTCAGGGGGTCCTTTGGTTGTACCTCCGCGACCACCCAGTGATCGCAGCATTATTGATGCGGTCTCTGGTTTCATTAATGACGTCACTCTCTCCTCCTCCTCAAACATTGACCCTAAGGATGTTATACAATGGGCTCGGTGAGTTTTTGAAATTTTATATTATTATATAGATTATGATGATTATGAAATAAGAGGCAATGAAATAAGTTTTTAAGTAAACACATAATCATTAATATTTATGAAAATGAATTGTATTACAAATGTATATTTTTCAAACTTATCAGTTTCGAAACTGCCGACATCAATGAGCCAACACCAGAAGGCGAAAGTGATTCTGACACATCACCCCTACTTCTGATCCTGGGCTATGGCTCTGGGGTTCAGGTTTGGTTGATACCCCCCACGGGTGACGCTCAGGAGGTACTGTCGTGGCGACAAGGCACAGTGAGGGTGCTCCGTATACTGCCCACTCCGCAGCACGGCGACTGCTTTGCATCGAAGAGGCCCCTCATCGCTTTGTGTGACTCTGCTGGCCCAGGACCTAGTTTTTGTGCGCTCAGCTTCATCTCCATCAGAGGCGGCGAACAGGTATGTAATTTAATGTTTTGCGAGATCCTTGAGAATCATTGATAAAGACCGTAAAGTATCTGAAGCGTTGAAAGTTTTAAAATATAAAGTAATTGTATAATTAAAATGTCAAACTGCTTTTGATCTGGTTTGTAACCTTTTTGTTTTGTTCCTAACCTTTGCTTGATGATTCATCTATATTGTATGTCGTAAACCTACTTATTAGGATAAGGTGCCATTGAAAATTATGCAACAAAAAGTTCTAATACACATTAAAAGAGCCAAAAAAATTCAATAAAATAACTTAAATATAAAATGACTAAAAATATGTATCATTACATTTGATGCATTAAATGTTCATTAAGAATTATCAAGAATACATTGTAAAAGTACATTGGCCTAAAGAAACGTAATTTATTGAACATGTCTGTTGTGTGTGATAAATAATACAAATTTCCATGAAGGTTTTCGTTGTCTAGCAGTATCAGGTTCTACCACTGTTTCAGTTATTTCGTAAATCGTGAAGTTCGTAACTCGAAATTAGTTCACGTGGATTCACTTGTAGCAGCCTGTTAATAGTGTATTTATACTGTCAGTGCCATGGTGATGGTGGTGGCCGATTGTCTGCATAAATTAACCAAAAAATGTAGAAATATTATGAGTGTTTTAAAAAAATATCGTATGTCATTATTTTAATGAAAACAAAACAAAGTTCTCAATGCCATTTTTCAATAATACAAGAAATGTCAAGAGTAATACAATTTTCATTAATACTTCATGTTTAATGTACGTGAATTAAAAAAAATCGACAAATTAAATATGCGCAATTAATTACGAAACAAAAACACCCAAGCCACTGATAAAATAATAAGAACAAAAAAAAATACAAGTAGGTAATTAATAAGCGTGAACAATTTATGTAGATAATTTATGTACGTAGCGAATAAAAATAAAAATAAAATTTTTATTTTGGTATTTTTCTATACGAATAGGTATATACGCATAGAATATTTCACGAGTATTTATATGGTGGTGCATCGAATCGATTCTCGGAAATCGAGACAGGTCACAGTGGCGCGTTCAATTACTGTTTGTTACTACGCGTAATTTATCAAAATAAAATTGTACTTTGTAGTAAATGATAAAGAGAAGATCTTCTACAGAGCGGTGCTGTTAATCAGTTGATCGATACTCTTTTTTTTTTCTTTTTTGTTTATGAAGTCAAGGATAGATGTTGACTGGTGATCGGGAAGAATTTCTAGTGTCACCAGGACAGGTGGGCGAGCACGGTCTTAGCCAGGACGGCTTAAATGCTTTCGGAACTTATACATATAAAAGCTTACTTAGTAAATTTTGTTAGGGCGATTCAGATTTTAGGTGATTCTATAAATACCGTTACTGTTATCGCTACTGTTACCGCAGTCAACGGTTTCGTTTAAGTCCCCTCTCATGATACCCATAGTTTAAAAATTAATGCCTTTTGACCTGTGTGCCATTTGCCTAACTTTGCTGCTATGGGCGCTGTTTCAACTGCATATAAATTTGAGTTAACTTTTACGCTAGAGAGAATGTTAAAAAACTCGTACTAAGCACAGTGGTCTTAATATGGTATAACAGCTGACCCATTAGTCATTTTACTCTTTTGTGTTATTTTTTATACAGACGGATTTAATGGAACTAAACACGCTACGAGAAATCGTTACGATCGCATCGTAACGATTGAACTGTACCGATAAATCGAATCGATAATAATACATGCAGATAAAATTGATCTTTTTTTAACCGTTCAGCGTATCAGAGACGAGTTATAAAATTATTGCATTGCTATCAATCATTGATGCGTGTGCAAATTTACTAGTTAATCTAACGTCTTGAAATCGGATTTAAAATTACGTTCAAAGCTTCCGTAACATACAAACAAATACTAATAATAATATGTTTACTACTATATATGCATACATACCTAGCTAATAAAAGCGCGTTAAAACTGTACAACAATATGATCCGTTGATCGGAGCACATTTGATTAAAAATCGGAATTGAATGAAACCAACGATAATCGTAAAGTATAAAGTATCCGATATAACTCGAAAGTCTAGTATTTTGATTAACATACGGTTTCGCTTGTACTGTTTGATAATGGAAGGATTATGTATGTATGTTAAGGGCGCATAAAGGTATAGAAATTTGTTCCGCCACGCGCATGCGCGACCTGAAAAATCTAAGAGGCCACGATCCCCGCCATTTTTAACAACAAGCATTTTACATTTTCACATAAAATAAACATTTTATTATTTTATTTAGAGCCGCTTTTATTTAAGCGTCCTAAAAGGTAAGCGTTCTTCTTTGACAGGTTAAGAGAATAAACTTCAAGAATCCAATATTGGACGTGTTGGCCAACAAGCGTTCAGTGGTGATATCATTTTCTGAACGTTTTGCCGTGTTCGACGCTGGGACCCTGGAGGACAGGATGTCCGTGACCACGTGCTACCCTTGTCCGTGCCCGCTCGGCGGAAGCGCGCCCATAAACCCTTTAACGCTTGGAGATCGCTGGCTGGCTTACGCTGATAAGAAGCTCAATCAGTCAAAGAGGAGCAGCGGTGGATGCGAAGGTGAGAATTTAGCGGTAATCAGTGGTTTAGGTGTGCCTCTGGCGTTGCTTGCGTCCATGTGAGATGATAACCTTTCTCTTTCAGATGCGCCGTATGCACGTTTGCCAATACAATGGCAATAAAAAAGACAAATGACCTTATTTCTTTGTTAAACATAATTTATAAAAGTATTAAGTTTTTTTCCCTGCCTAATCTGGTAGCCTTACTGGTAATCGCTCGACGAGTAAATTAACCCACAGACACAGCCTACTGAGTTTTTCGCCAGATCTTCTCAGTGGGTCGCGTTTCCGATCCGGTGGTAGATTCTGCAAAGCACGGCTCTTTCTAGGGTTCGTGTTAGCAACGTCGTCAGGTTTGAGCCCCGTGAGCTAACCCAGCGAGTAGATGAGCTCACGGGGCTCTAACCTGAGGACGTTGTTAACACTAGATTAGCGAGAGCAGTACTTCGCAGAATCTACCATCGGATCGAAAACTCAACCCACTGAAAAGATCCGGCAAGAACCTCAGGCGGCTTCTCAGGAGTAGTAGTAGTAAATGACTATTATTTGGCGTCCAACTAGGCAAAGTATATAACGATTTTCATAGACATATGCCCATAGACATAACAACGGGAATGTCGCCGCCCATTTGGAAGCTTGAGTTCGATCGAGTATCAATTGTATTGTAATAAAGATGGTGTATTAGTGTGAGTTCTCGACAGGTTCTACCCTCCAGTGAATACGTGTGGGTTAAAAGGTATAGTGTGTTAAAAAAGGGCTTCTAACCCTAACAAACATCTTACGTGCGTAATCTAATCGATAAGACAGATGTTCCGCGATTTAATCGCAATTAAACAATACGCACAAACGTCTTTGTATACGACGTTAACGAGATTGTATTGCGTTCGAAGTGAACAGCCGCTGCTGACCTTACATCGGTATCGTTGTTTTGTTGCGACCACGCATCGTGCATGACTAACGGCTGTGCGATGTTTGCTTTTAACGCGTGACCGATAAATGTATAATAGTAGTAGTTATTATATTTCTATAATATAATCACAGATTTCGACAAATCTACACTACAGATAAATAATATTAAAGACAAACATTAATAATTTATTCTAAATTTAACCACAGACTTTAAACGATAAAAAAAAATTGACAATTGACTATAAACAAAGAGTATATTTATACGTACTAGTGGTCCCACGGTACTCGAAATTCCACTATAATTAATTGAAATTATAAGCTTGTACACTATTATGATTCTATTGTCAAAGACTATTTTTACTTCTATAGTCATAGATTTCGCCAAGACTAAACTTTAGACAAATGTTAATAAAGACAAACAATATTTATTTTATTCACAATTTGACTACAGACTTTAAGCAATAACAAAAGTTTGACAATAAATAAATAGTATGCGTTCGTGTGTGTGTCAAATACATGGTAGTGTGTGTAATGTTTTTTTATTGATTTTATGTATTTTTTATGCATAATTTAAAAAAATATTAGCATTCTACACTCCTTCTCTATAAGTGTAGGAAATTTCATACTTCTCCGTCCGCGCAATTTTCGTAAACATTTTTACGTTACAAAGTTTTTGCGTCACGTATATAGATTCTAGTGGCATAATCTAGTAGGCAATGCTGACGTTCATTAGCGACGGTGAGTAATTACCATCAGGTGGGCCGTGTGCTTGTCTGCCAACAAAGGCAATAAAATAATGTATAGTATTTGTTTAATGTTATTTTCAAGTGCGTGGAAGATGTTTCATACGCAAGGACTAGGTCTGTCATATTTGTAATGGGTCGTGGAAAAAATCGTTCAGATTCGAGAAATTCCTTTGGAATCTCTTAAGAATGCTTTCTTCTTTTTTTCTATTTTCGTCCGTCATTAACCTATTCGGTGACGAATTTTTAAAGTATAAAAAAACGAATTTAAATTATTTTTTATTGCGATTTGTCCATTTTATATTGAAAACAATCAAACAATTAAAAAAAAATATACAAAAATTGCGAATACATATTCAATAGAAAAAATGATATCCACATATAACTATTTAGCGTGGTGTTAAATATACAAATAATTATAATTAACAAAAATAACAAAAACTATTATAAATACACATGTGCCAATGTGTCTAAAAAGGTTAAATTGTAAAAACTCCTTCAAATGCAATCACTATATTAATATTTATTAATACGAAATTTCATGAGTGGACAAACATCAAAACGGCCATCATAGCGCGCCGGTAGATTAGTCGTTGGTCGACAAAGAGGTTTCTCGCCACGACCTGTCTCAATCGGGGGCGTTCATGATACATCTACTTCGTGGGCTGTGGTCCGTTAATAAATATAATGACGTAATTGTAGCAGAGGGCGTAAGCAGTTACACAGCGACCGTGCTCCACGCGGCCAAGTCCCTCAGCAAGGGACTGCGCGGTCTCGGCGAGAGCGTCGCCCACAGTCTGGCCGGCGGACGCAGCACCTCGCAGTCTCCGTCGCCGCCTAATACTGACATTCAGCAGCCCGGGGTCGTCACCGTTTTAGATATCGAGGTAGATCGAACTCATTTTCCGACAATACCTTTAATATTGATCAAGGTTATATGAATAGACAAAGACATGGGCAAAATTATTTTTAACGTTGTCATATCCGGTCCAACTTGAAAACTTTATCATATTGGATACTCTGTATACATTAATAATCTAGATACGTTACTAAGATTATTTTCATTTGAATTAAAGTATCGAAAGTGTTATAAATTGAAATACGGTCAACACATTGGCTCTTGAATTTTGAATGAAATTCACTTATTTTTTTTTAATATTGTGGCCTGGTGTCTAGACCTTTAGGCCAAAACTCACTTAGATATTAATAATAAGGTTACCAGATTCTAAATACATTATAACAGTGAGATATGTATTGTTAACGCCAGGGCTTCAACGTAGAGGAAGGTCAGGACAACGACGAGCAGTGCGACCCTATAGTGGCCCACTTCGTCGCTCACTCGGAAGCGATAATAGCGCTGAAGTTCGACGCGAGCGGCATGCTGCTGGTGACCGCGGACCGGCGCGGACACGACTTCCACGTGTTCCGGATCAACCCGCACCCGTGCGGGCCCAGCCTCGCCTCCGTGCACCACCTCTACATACTGCACAGGGGCGACACCACGGCGAAGGTCCAGGTGTGTGCGCGTACCACATGTATTGGATTATCAATTATATAAAATAAAATAAATATTAGATTATCTCAGATATCTCAGGAAACGGGCTTGGAATAATCGAAATTATGATACCCGATCCTGTGGACCGAATGGCAAACAGTCGACGTCGTCCTAAACACGTCATTACGGATCCTCCCGATCCATTAACGGTGCTTTTGGGTACCCTAAGCATCGGTCACCGTCCTCGCCGAACGCGGCGCTTGCGACGAGGAGCTCGACGAGGGGATTGACCCATAGACAAAGGCCACTGAGATTCTTGCCGGATCTTCTCAATGGGTCGCGTTTCCGATTCGGTGGTAGATTCTGCGAAGCAATGCTCTTGCTAGGGTCAGTCTTAGCAACACTTCCGGCTTGAGCCCCCTTAAACTCGCCTACACGTCTAGAAGTTGAAATAGCCTCTCAAGGCTATCAGTATAAGTCGAAAAAAAAAACGAAAATATTAAAATTTAACAATTCAAGAAATAAATCATAAACTTCTTAATATGATTGATTGTTGAATTTGAATATTTGAATTTTTGTTCCTATTTGCACATTTTAAAAGTAATCCAATCCAGGGATCTGTGGAACAGCCCAGAAAATGCAGAGTTGACATTGTGAAAAAAGTAATCGTTAAATGTTGCAGGACATTGCGATATCGCCGGACTCGCGGTGGACGGCCATATCGACGCTGCGCGGCACGACGCACGTGTTCGCGGTGAGCCCGTACGGCGGCGCGTGCGGCGTGCGCACCCACACGCAGCCGCGCGTCGTCAACCGACTGTCGCGCTTCCATCGCTCCGCCGGCCTGCCCATCCACGCCGCCGCCACGGCCAGACGCAGCCCTGTACGTCTACCATTACAATGCTACCAACATTCATGCACAATACGAATACAAATCTTGTGTTTTCAAAATGGCGCGCCTTTCAAGACTAAAAAAAAAATTTATTGCATACGTGAGTGGACGTGCTCACGGCCTCACGAAAGGTCCTACCACTAGTAATTATGCAAATTATAATTTTGTGCGTTTGATTTTTATTACACGATGTTATTCCTTCACCGTGGAAGTCAATCGTGAACATTTGATACGTACGTATTTCATTAGAAAAGTTGGTACCGGCCTGCGGGATTCGAACATCATTGCATCGCTAGATATTAATGTACCGCACGTCTTATCCTTAACACAAATATTTGCCTTATTTGGCATAATCGGCGTATCAATTTGAAGTGTGGATGGAATGTTTGTTGTTTGCGCGCATACGAGGGCGGCACTGAAAATTTCGGGAATTAACGAAGTGACACAACATTACTATTTAAAAATGTATTTATTGCTTTTCGAAGTATTCTCCGCGAAAATTGACACATTTTTCCATACGATGTAACCAATCATTGAAGCAACCATTCCATTCGGAAGTTTGGTCTCCAAAATGGCTGTTTTGTAGGCGTCCACAGCTTCTTCAGGTCCACGCAATTTATTCTTTATTTTAGGGAAAGTATAGAAATCATTAGGGCTTAGGTCGGGGCTGTACGGCGGACAGTCTAATAATTCTATGTTTTCTTGCTCTAAAAACTCTTTTGTTCTGTGCGCGGTGTGAGAACTCGCATTGTCGTGATGGAGGATGATGCGGCGGTTGCAGTCTCTTTACGGAGTTCAGAAACGACCTGTGGCAAACAAATGCTAGCATACCATTCTGCATTAACCGTTATTTGTCCCTCAAGAGGAATAGTCGTAACATGGCCGGTTTTGGAGACAAACGTGGCCACCATTTTTTTGCAACACTCCGTGAAGGAACAATTTTTGTTGGCTTTAACTCATTTTCGAACACACAAACTCGTGACTGGTTTTTGGAGTTTACTCCTTTAGAATCGATTTACATATATAGGCCCGGGGTATGAAAATTATGGGGACCAAAATCGTACTAGCATGTCACACGAAATGCGTTATGCGCCTGATTGGCTCCTGATTGCGTGATGCGTGCGCGCGCCAATCAAAATCGTACTAGCATGTCACACGAAATGCGTTATGCGCCTGATTGGCTCCTGATTGCGTGATGCGTGCGCGCGCCAATCA